CCGTTGAAATTATAAATTGTCATAAACGGAAAAAGGGGGAATACAATGGGAATCATCAGATCGACCTGTTTATTGTAGGAAAAAATTCCAGTGTCGAATACGTATATGTGATTTAGCCGGCCCCCTGACACACATTGACTCGTTAAAATAACGACATAATGGCTAATTTAGTGATAATAAGCGACAACTGTATCGTTCAAATTAGCGTCGAAGGTGAGACGAGAGTACCAGCGAACCGGTTACGAAAATTTTCAGACGTCAGAATCTATTAAATTTTTTTAAGGGCCACTGGCGCCACCTGACGGGGTGGTGGAGCAACCGGATGGGTGTACCGGTATTCGTTGGGTTTTTCTGAGAAAAAAAAGTTTTTAATTTTTCAATTAATTGGTTATAATCATTCTGATTGCAAAAAGCAATACGACCGATGAGAATCATATGCCCCAATTTATCAGCTGTTGAATTTTCATATTACAATAAATAATTTGCTCATGTTCTAATTCCCATGCTCATTGAATAACATTTTAATTATAATTACAATTTAATTCCTCTTAGCACACATTTTAGAGTGTGAATTTCTGGAATTCAATCTTTGTTGATACTCTGGTAAAAGTGCGTGCCCACACTGTTATAAATTTTTAATTAGTTCACACGGTAATTCAATTAATCTGTTGTTCATCTCATCAATATAATTCCGTGCTTAGAATATTGTCATCTCGTGTTTTCAACCAAATTAAAAATTAAAACTTCATTTGGAATATTGAGTCACAGCTTCTTTTTATTAATATAAAAAATTTTGTGTTTGGATATTAATATTATTTGTTCAAAGTGAAAAATCGATCATCATTTTCACTATATTGCATTCAGATTCTCCTATCCTTAACGTCAAAAATGTGATATAATCTCATAATCCTATTTATGAAAGGTCATACACATAAATGAACATCGTTAGAGTCGAAATATCTCGAAATTCGTAAGACTGATTCCTCATTGGTTAATCGCATAGGCATGAACTTGGTTAGTTCTCACCCGGGAAATTTAAATACAAATTCGTCACAGTGCGCGCAGCGCACTCCACGGTTTCGTTCTGGCTATTAATTCTAATCAACTTTGTTCGAAGAAAACCTTAGTAAACGCAATATTAAGAAAGTTGAATTATTCTATTTTCCTCTGACCTAAATGATTTGGAAAATTATGATTCATTTGTTCATGTTTCATAGAATGATATTCAATTCTTTTGGTTGTTAGGCGGGCTTCATGAAAATTCGGCGCAAGACGATTGTACTCATGAAAACCGCCTTACTCTCTCCATTCGTTCGAGACATTACTCATGCTTTTTTTTATTTTAGAACAAAATTTTGAGGAATTGAGGACTTGATCATCGTGAATCCCCTGACGGTCCCGATCCCTTGAGATGATTTCATTTCATTAAATTTGAAGGGACAGAGTGGAGCAGGCGCTCTTTTATTGTTTTTTAATTGTTATTTTTTATTTTTACTTTATGGGTTTCTATTTGCGATGACGATGTCATAACGTCGAGACCATGATCGAAGTGGGGGAGAAGGATACAGGGCAGATCGATAAACTCTCGGGAACCTCTGACACAAATCAATGTTAATCGATCAGAATTGTATCACTCCGTATTCGATTCTCCATTTTTAAGCGTTAGGAGATATTTTGGAAATCTAAAGTCACTGAAAGCTCTAGTTCTTCTGCAAGCAGTTGGAAAATTTCAATTTTCGGTTATTCCGAACATTTCTCATGAATCATTTGCAAACAATCGATTTTTCAGGAGGAAAAAAGTTTCTAGTTTTCAGAACAAATTTACTGATTTTACAAAACTCATGGTTCTAATGTGCATCGTCATCAGAATTAGAAACCGTTCAGTTAATATCAGACGAAAAATCTCTGAAATTGAATTGCTACGAAAATTTGAAAAAAATGAGACGCAATTCGTACAAATATCGTATTGATGAGACGTAAATCATGGAGTCCTACCAGGAATCAGGCCAGACTAAACATGACGAAAGATAATCTGAAACCTGCACCGGAATGTGGCGAATAGTTCAAGTTCGCCCAGAGCACTTGCAAATGATCCATATTATAGATACGCATCTATAATATATTGTTTTCTTTTATCTCAACACCAAATGTATTATTAATATTCAGTCTACTGCAATATCCCAGCCCAATTAATTACTTAAAAAATGTGTATTTTGAGTTCCAACGATTGGCTCCCACTTGCCATAAACAATATTCTACAGAATGAACTGAATGTTCTTGAATTGATAACAGTTGCGTTCTTAAACCAAGAATATCCGAGAGAATTAAACTTCAGGACTAATTGAACATTGATTTAACATTAATTGAGTCAAGGTGTCAGGTGATAAAACTTTCAACAAAGCAGTTATGAATTCCCTTGAAATAGAATTATAAACTTCAGGGATATCTCAAAAGATACTTGAAACATGGATTAATTTTATGACGGAAAAAACAATCCAAGTGGCAGATAAAATGAGCTATATTTAATCCTCTATAAATCAAGACCGAGAGAGTGAAAATATATATATTTTTTTTCATTTTGAAGGTATTTTACTAGACTCCAAAATGTAAACTGATATTGATGAGTCGAACTAATTTTCTCCAAATCATAAATCAATAATCATAGATCATGAATCAGAAATCATGAATAATCGATCATAAATCATAAATAATAGATCAAATCATAGATTATGAATGATGAATCATAAATATTAAATAATCTATCATAAATCGTGAATCATAAATCATAAATAATCGATCATAAATCATGAATCATAGATCATTAATGATAAATCATAAATTTTAAATAATCTATCATAAATCATGAATCATAAATCATAAATAATCGATCATAAATCATGAATCATAGATCATTAATGATAAATCATAAATTTTAAATAATCTATCATAAATCATGAATCATAAATCATAAATAATCGATCATAAATCATGAATCATAGATCATGAATCATAAATCATAGATCAGAACTCATAAGCAACAGCTCGTTCAAAGAAATAGAAAGAATTCCCCCAACTCCTCACAAGCTACAAATTTAATTTATCACTGTAATACGTCATCTAGAGTTATCAAACATCTCCCACTGACAACTCATCGATCTGTCGAGACGGAGCACTCGATTCTTTCGTCATCGGCGTTAAATTCGGAATGCTCTCCCCCACGTCACGGATTTTATTTCGAAAATACGAATAATAAAAACGGAACATCGATTTTTTCAAGGGCATGTCTTGACGACCATTCGGGGGAGCACGGGATTGATCAAACAAGTCATACGTACGATATAAGAAATACTTTTCGCCATGAGTTTTCTTTTACTGATTATATTGATAATATCAGTGTTATATTTTATTATTAAATGGCCTTCGGCTGTTGGCTCTTTATGAAATGACAATGAGAATGAAGTCGACATAATTTTTCGAGAAAAATTAATTCTTCATTTTTATCTCTGAAGCACGTGAGTCTATCCGGAATTAATCTTCAGTGAATACTCTTTAATTGTTTGACAGATTATCAAACAATGATAAAGACAACATTGCGGTTTTATCAACGATTAAATTAATTTTATTGTTAATTATAATGGGATTTTTGCTATCTGCTGATTAGATTTGGGAATGTGACCCACGTTTTCATATTTTGCATTCAAAAATTGAGGTTATTCTGATCGAAAATGGGGCATATGAGGGCTATTTCATAGGACTACACGAATTCGGTCTTTCTAAAGTTGAAGAAAAATTAGTTCTTGGAGAATATCTCGGAATTCAGTGAGATATCGAAATTTTTGGTAAGACCTTTTTTGTAGAGAATTTTATCAGTTGCAAAAATGTGTAGACACAAATTTCGGTATTTCTTTTAGATTTCGAGATATTTTCGAAAAACTGTCGTTAAACCCAATTACGCAGAAACGCGTAAAACAAAAATAACTCATCTTCAATCCGGCATAACTCAATATCCGCTGAGTGAAATTTTACAATTTTATTTTCATTCTCAAGATAATTTCAAAACCTTCAAAATGAATCTAAACTCATCAAAATCACATCATTGACTTCGAAGTTATTACCAATTATACCCAAATTTCTAAATTGGGAGAATTCCCCAGAAGTTAAAAAATGATCAGTTTTTGCGAAATATCTCAAAATCTAGCAGAGTTATCAAAATTTCCATTTCGACCTTTTTTGTAGCTGACAAAATTCTCTACAAAAAAAGTAATTACAAAAAATTTTCCATTTCCCTTAGCTTCTGAGATATTTCCAAAAAACTTTCTTGAAACCCAATTTTCCACGAACAAAAAACCCACAAAAAAAACAATCTTCAATGCTCTATAACTCGGCATCCGCTGAGTGAAATCTCCCAATTTTTTTTCATTCTCAAGACAATCCCAAAACCTTCAACACGACCGCAAACTCATAAAAATCCCATCGTCAGCACCTCCGGAAATCTCCGGAAATCCCCACAAACCCCGAAAATCCGGCGCACTTTCACCCAAAACTCAATTCCAAATCCCCCTCCCCGATTCTAATTCCGCAGACCCTTCAACTACCTAATCCCCTCTCAAAAAACCTCACCGAAAGCCCAGAAATAACAACAAACCTCGAGCACCCACAGGGCGTGGTTAACGTCCTCTTACTCATCAATTAATCCCCGGACTGCTGCTGATTCCGCGCATTTCCCGACGTTTCCGTACGCCAAACGCTCCAAAAAACCTCAGGCCCTCACATCCCCGAGCCCAAGGGCGATGTCATCAAGCCCTCAGCCCTCATTTCTCCCTCGCCCCCAATAAATCCCGGAAAAACCGACACCAAAACCCTCCCCAAGGCCCTGCGCAGGCACTTCTGCACGAAAAAAAAAATTCCCGTTCAGCCCCAGGGCCCAACCCGACCTCATCAAGGGCCCGAGTCCATCAGCAATGATTCAATGATTAAAGGAAAAGTCATCGGATACTCACATCAGTGGCGAGACCTCCCTTGCCCGCCATATTGACAACAATAATGGCCGCCGGCCGTGACTACCTGTGTGCACGCCCGTGTCACCTCTCACTTCCACGAAAAAAAAACAATTCCACAGATTGAAATTCTAAAAAACCAATCACCAGATCCTCGAATCCGATGAGATTCACCACTCGGGGTTCACGGGGGTCTCACTGCTTTGAGTTTCAATTTTTTTATTTTTTTTAACGGATTTTAACTTGAGGAAATGGAGACACTCACGACGCACGCTAGCCCCTGACACTCACGGGCGAGGGAATGAGGGGTGACGTCACTCGAGAGGTACGTAACAGCGAGCGCTTACGAGGTGACTCTCTGTCTCAGTCGGGTTTGGGGGGTGGGGGGCCTCGGCCTGGTCGGCACCCTCCCCCCTCCGCGGCGGCGGGGAAGGGGTAACGGTAGTTCTTTCTTTTTTTGTAGTTTTTTTGTTTTTCCTGGGGCTTATCTCGTGGAAGGTGTTTTGTGATCACATATGAAAAAGTTCAATTGAAAATCTAGCAAATTCGCTAGAAAAGCGAATTTGAAAATTTTTTTTTTTGCGATTTTTTTTTCTATTGGAATTCCAGTGAAAAATTGTAGGGGAGGGTTGGGCAAAATGGGGTAGGGTGGGTAAAACGAGATAGTCCAATTTTGCACAAAAAAATTAGAAATTTGTTAAAATCATAAAGACGTTCATTAGGGGAGGTTGGGGTAAAATGGACACTTTTGACTTTTTTTAAAATGTTAATGACGGGTTGAAATGTTGATAAAATTTCATAATTTTTTCTTCATTGCAAAGAACAATTCTCTCCCTTTGTGATGAACCTAAACTGAGCTGAAAAATTCAATAGAAAATGTAGTAAATTCGCTAGAAAAGCGAATTTGCAAATTTTTTTTTTTGCGATTTTTTTTTCTCTTGGAATTCCAGTGAAAAATTGTAGGGGAGGGTAGGGCAAAATGGGATGGGGCGGGTAAAACGGGATAGTCCAATTTTGCACAAAAAAATTAGAAATTTGTTAAAATCATAAAGACGTTCATTAGGGGAGGTTGGGGTAAAATGGACACTTTTGACTTTTTTTAAAATGTTAATGACGGGTTGAAATGTTGATAAAATTTCATAATTTTTTCTTCGTTGCAAAGAACAATTCTCTCCCTTTGTGATGAACCTAAACTGAGCTGAAAAATTCAATAGAAAATGTAGTAAATTCGCTAGAAAAGCGAATTTGCAAATTTTTTTTTTTGCGATTTTTTTTTCTATTGGAATTCCAGTGAAAAATTGTAGGGGAGGGTAGGGCAAAATGGGATGGGGCGGGTAAAACGGGATAGTCCAATTTTGCACAAAAAAATTAGAAATTTGTTAAAATCATAAAGACGTTCATTAGGGGAGGTTGGGGTAAAATGGACACTTTTGACTTTTTTTAAAATGTTAATGACGGGTTGAAATGTTGATAAAATTTCATAATTTTTTCTTCGTTGCAAAGAACAATTCTCTCCCTTTGTGATGAACCTAAACTGAGCTGAAAAATTCAATAGAAAATGTAGTAAATTCGCTAGAAAAGCGAATTTGCAAATTTTTTTTTTTGCGATTTTTTTTTCTATTGGAATTCCAGTGAAAAATTGTAGGGGAGGGTAGGGCAAAATGGGATGGGGCGGGTAAAACGGGATAGTCCAATTTTGCACAAAAAAATTAGAAATTTGTTAAAATCATAAAGACGTTCATTAGGGGAGGTTGGGGTAAAATGGACACTTTTGACTTTTTTTAAAATGTTAATGACGGGTTGAAATGTTGATAAAATTTCATAATTTTTTCTTCGTTGCAAAGAACAATTCTCTCCCTTTGTGATGAACCTAAACTGAGCTGAAAAATTCAATAGAAAATGTAGTAAATTCGCTAGAAAAGCGAATTTGCAAATTTTTTTTTTTGCGATTTTTTTTTCTATTGGAATTCCAGTGAAAAATTGTAGGGGAGGGTAGGGCAAAATGGGATGGGGCGGGTAAAACGGGATAGTCCAATTTTGCACAAAAAAATTAGAAATTTGTTAAAATCATAAAGACGTTCATTAGGGGAGGTTGGGGTAAAATGGACACTTTTGACTTTTTTTAAAATGTTAATGACGGGTTGAAATGTTGATAAAATTTCATAATTTTTTCTTCGTTGCAAAGAACAATTCTCTCCCTTTGTGATGAACCTAAACTGAGCTGAAAAATTCAATAGAAAATGTAGTAAATTCGCTAGAAAAGCGAATTTGCAAATTTTTTTTTTTGCGATTTTTTTTTCTATTGGAATTCCAGTGAAAAATTGTAGGGGAGGGTAGGGCAAAATGGGATGGGGCGGGTAAAACGGGATAGTCCAATTTTGCACAAAAAAATTAGAAATTTGTTAAAATCATAAAGACGTTCATTAGGGGAGGTTGGGGTAAAATGGACACTTTTGACTTTTTTTAAAATGTTAATGACGGGTTGAAATGTTGATAAAATTTCATAATTTTTTCTTCGTTGCAAAGAACAATTCTCTCCCTTTGTGATGAACCTAAACTGAGCTGAAAAATTCAATAGAAAATGTAGTAAATTCGCTAGAAAAGCGAATTTGCAAATTTTTTTTTTTGCGATTTTTTTTTCTATTGGAATTCCAGTGAAAAATTGTAGGGGAGGGTAGGGCAAAATGGGATGGGGCGGGTAAAACGGGATAGTCCAATTTTGCACAAAAAAATTAGAAATTTGTTAAAATCATAAAGACGTTCATTAGGGGAGGTTGGGGTAAAATGGACACTTTTGACTTTTTTTAAAATGTTAATGACGGGTTGAAATGTTGATAAAATTTCATAATTTTTTCTTCGTTGCAAAGAACAATTCTCTCCCTTTGTGATGAACCTAAACTGAGCTGAAAAATTCAATAGAAAATGTAGTAAATTCGCTAGAAAAGCGAATTTGCAAATTTTTTTTTTTGCGATTTTTTTTTCTCTTGGAATTCCAGTGAAAAATTGTAGGGGAGGGTAGGGCAAAATGGGATGGGGCGGGTAAAACGGGATAGTCCAATTTTGCACAAAAAAATTAGAAATTTGTTAAAATCATAAAGACGTTCATTAGGGGAGGTTGGGGTAAAATGGACACTTTTGACTTTTTTTAAAATGTTAATGACGGGTTGAAATGTTGATAAAATTTCGTAATTTTTTCTTCGTTGCAAAGAACAATTCTTTCCCTTTGTGATGAACCTAAACTGAGCTGAAAAATTCAATAGAAAATGTAGTAAATTCGCTAGAAAAGCGAATTTGCAAATTTTTTTTTTTGCGATTTTTTTTTCTATTGGAATTCCAGTGAAAAATTGTAGGGGAGGGTAGGGCAAAATGGGATGGGGCGGGTAAAACGGGATAGTCCAATTTTGCACAAAAAAATTAGAAATTTGTTAAAATCATAAAGACGTTCATTAGGGGAGGTTGGGGTAAAATGGACACTTTTGACTTTTTTTAAAATGTTAATGACGGGTTGAAATGTTGATAAAATTTCGTAATTTTTTCTTCATTGCAAAGAACAATTCTCTCCCTTTGTGATGAGCCTAAACTGAGCTGAAAAATTCAATAGAAAATCTTTTCTAGCGAATGTGCTAGATGTTTTTTTTGTGATTTTTTTTTTCTATTGGAATTCTAGTAAAAATCAAAAAAAGAATTACGCATTAGAACGCGAGTGGTCAGTCGGTCCATTTAGAAGCGGTGTTCAATCTGAAACCATAAGGGTCATGAGGGTCATATGAGGGTTGGCGAGCGAAGCGAGCAGGGGGCGTAGCCCCCCAGTAGAAATATAAAAAATTATTCGCTTGATTTTCTAGTCTACCTGTCCGACTCAACCGAAATTTGTTCACAAAAATGCAAGTGTCAAGTTCATTATTAAAATTTTTAATGAATTGTTCGTTAGCGTAATTACTAGTCGCATTAGCGGAGACTATTTTATGACGGTGGTATTAACTACGGCGTCACTCAGCGTCGAGATATAATTGCTCCGTGTGGGTATGCCGATCTGTACGTATGCCTCATGCAATGGGGATTTTACGAACGGGTGCGGTTCATCGCGAAATTCCAGGGTCGTGACTAAACAAAGAAACGGCGTCTCGAGCTACCGGTGGAATTCAATACTATTGTTTACGTTGTATACTATTGTATTATTTTTCGCGGTTATCATCGATCTCTCGTGTGGACGGACCGAGGGAAGGGTAGATCACTATTTGCGGCAACTGATTCTGGTTGAGTGGGGTCCATCAAGGCCAGTAGAATGCAACAACTGATGATTATCTATTGGATCAGCATTAGTTGTCGAACCTTGACTTTGGTAATGCCGATGATAACCCTGTCGGAAAGCATCTTTTCAAGCTGCACTTGCACGGAGAAAATTATTTGGTGAATTCCCCAACTAGTTGGTGAAAAAATAAACGTTTATAAACAATATAAATAATGAAAAAAAAATACTCGACTACTCTCACTCTCGATAAATAAATTTTGTTAAATGAAAATTAGAGATTTTGAGATTGTATTTGAGTCACGTGGGTAAATTAAATGCGAGGTATTTTTCCATTCAACTGGAGTTTCTTTATTTTTACATTTCCCGATTTTCTAGATGATTAAGGGAATTTTAATTCGGTTTTCTTTCTGATTGGATTTCTTGTTGTCTCGTTGTGTTGGCGACCCCTTTCCTGAGACCGAGCGACCGATTCCATCCCGCTCTCCGAATTTTCTCTCGAGTTAGCTAGGCATAAGTCCGCAACCTCTCCCTCTGATTTTCCCAATCCCAGTTATATTTTTACCCCCGACGGCAAACCAGAGGGAGGGGTATATGCTTTTGACGGTCCATACCACGACTCTTCGATATCTGTGTGGACGAAATTTCGGTTAATTTTGGAAATCGCCGTCACAATTGGCGTGACGTTTATAAATAGAATTATCAGTGGTATTTTGACATCCCAACGGATGACAGTTGACATTCATCAAATCGATGAATTTCCGTTGCGTTGCATTCACCTAAACTTCATGAATTCCATTCGAGGGGAATTCTTCGATTTTTGAAGTAAAAAAATCCTCGAAAATGCAATTTTTATAATTATGCAAATTTCAGGCGGTGGATAATGAAAAATAAAATTTCATCGACACCTCGAATTGAGGAATTCGAGGTGTTTTTTTCGTCCAATTCTGGGCATGAACATTTCATATTCGTTGATGAGGAGAATTTCCAAGGGAGATGGGTTGCTTTAACGAAATCTCAGTCATGAATGACGGTTTGCTGGTAACACAAGGGATCATGTTAGGGGATATGTGGAAATTGGGGAATCGCAGATTCCCAGGGGTAGAGTGAGGCGGACGGGGGAGGGCGTATGCCTGACCCACATCCCTGTGAATCGATCGGGACGCCCCGTCCTCACATTTCCTATATACAGCGCTTTTACTGGAGAAGGAACAAGGAACAGAATAAAACCAACCGTCGATTCAACTTATTATTTTCAAGTTTATTATTCGATTGAGTTATTACTGGCTCCAACGAATCAATGACGATTTTTCTGGGTCTATTGCGTAGAACCTGAGATTCTCCATGAAAGACTCGAGACATTTTCACTTCACATGAATTTAATCCATAATTTCTACATGAAGAAACTTTAAATTAACGAATTCTATTTGAGAAAAAAAATGAACTCTCGTTTTTGGTAAATATCTCGGAACCTATGAGAGATAGAGAGATTTTTGTGGGAACTTTTTCATGGGAAATTTCAAGAGCTACAAAAAAGGTTCAGATGATAATTTCGATATCTCGAATGGCTTTCAAGATATTCGCAAAAAACTGGAGAAGAATCGACGCAGCCTGTTCACTACTTAATTAATTAAAAACTTTCGGCGTTTTAATTATCTCAACATGAGGAACTAATGAAGATTTTCACCAGTAACATTGTGGAGGAATTGGGGTTAAAATGAGTTGAAGAGTGTAAAATTGCCTGAACGTATTTAGCCCTTGACAAAAGCTCCCGAGTGGATTCACTGTATAATGTACTAACGAGGAAACTTTGCAAGAACTCCCACCAATGGCTACGGTATTATGCAAGCTGACGCCACAATTTTCCCCGCTCCCTGCGTTATTCTATTTATAAATAAAATGGGCATTCGTTGGATGCCAAATTATGAACAGGTGCGTCGGATAGTACAGGGAGAGAATATAAAATTAAAAATTACCATGTGAACATAGTAATCGAGGACTACACCGACACAACTTTAAAATTTGACTCATCTGAACCGAATTTTTACTCGTGACACAATTGACCAGTGACGTCGATCCAATCGAAAGTCATCAGTTGTGTTGCATTCCACTGGCATTTATCGATCCCGCTGAACCAGAATTCCACGTCAATATCTTAAAAAAATCCCAAGAATTGGATATAGTGTCTACTCCAATGCCAGAAGTGCTTTTTTTTTTTTTTTTTTTAGGCCTCGGAGTCCNAGGCCTCGGAGTCCCTTTTCGGGTCCCATTCGCCACTCTATCCAACCCTATGCATGCGGCTGTGAATTCTACACTGTACCGCATTCGCATTCCTATAGAACATAGAAGTAGCATGGGGAAACCACAGAAAACCTATGCCGGTACAGGCAGTTCCTCTGTTAGCAACCTCCCGCTCGGCGGAGCCTTCCGTTGAAAAATTCGGTTCCACGGGGAATCGAACTCACAACCTTTCGCACACTAGACTTGCGTCTAATCCACTCGGCCACCGACGTCGGTGCCAGAAGTGCTTACATTAGCTATCCGCCACCTCAAGTCTCTTCGTCCTTGAATGATTATTATGTATCATCACCTTCCTCACTGAATTTCATTACCATATACGTTTAGTTAAATCTGATTTTGTTATCCCCATCACGACCACAGTTATGCTGTAATTAATTATGTATCTTAATTATAGTTTTGTCCCTATAATTGGCCTTGAGCTGTTGGGTCTGTATAAAGCAATAAATAAAAAAAAGAATTCTCCATGAACAAATACAAATACAAAAGATCCAATTGCCCTCAATGGCGGATAATATCCCCCATTTCATCACTCTCCATAAATCCAGAACGCCATGAACGAGGGAATGATGATAGGATCGATGTGAGGGTACTCTTCCATTCAATGACCACGGGAAATGGCTTCTGGATGAGCCTGGATCTCTCATAAATTGTCCGATGGGTAATGAGGGCGAGAATTTCCTCTCCAAGTGGTAACTCACCCCTATCCCGTCCGTATCCACCACTCCTCAACACTTTCTTGAGCTAGATAAATTTATCTCCGAGGGAAGTCCACCCCCAGCAAAGAACTCTTTCATTTTTTTTAGGAAGAATTTCTCAAAGTACTATTTTTATTTATCCCTATAGCAATTCTCATCTACTGAATCCGATATCTGAAGAAAAATCTTGCGGAATATAGTACTTACAAATTTTTTTCATAAATTAAAAGCTCAAACAAATGAATAAATAAAATAAAAAAATAATTTTTAAAAAAATTGACATTTATTAATGAAATATTAATAAATATTATTGATATTAATATTTATTTATATAAATAAATGAGTAAATAAACAAATAAATAATGGAAAATCTCTTCTCCTCACTCGACAATGAAAACAATGATATTTATTAATGAAATATTAATAAATATTATTAATATTAATATTTATTTACTAGGGGGCTTCGCGCCCTGCTCGGTTCGCTCGCCAACCCCGGGGGGCTTCGCTCGTCCGCTCGCTTCGCTCGCTCCCCCCCACTCCAACTGTTAGAGATTAGGAAGTCAAGGAGAGCCTACATTTCATTCCCCCCCACCGCGTTTGACCCTGGGACACCCTCCTCCCTTCTAACCCCCCCGACCTTGGGCACCCCCTGACCGCCCCCCCACCTTTAGGCGTCGCCTGAATTGTCTTAAATTTTGCCCTTATTTTTTTATTATATAGAGATATAAATAAATGAGTAAACAAACGAATAAATAATGGAAAATCTCTTCTCCTCACTCGACATTTATTATAATAAAGCTCATGACCGATTACATTTTTAATTATTTAATCAAAATTATTATTCACAAGTGTTAATTAACGACTCGAGCGTCCAATTCGAAGCAGACGTGGACGTTTTCTTTTTGATCTACCAGAGAGAACGTCAGGTGGAGGTCGACGTTGGGGTACGCCTTGAGGATCGGCATCTTCAGCCCGTACGAGATCAATTCCCCCTTTTCCAGCGGACATTCGCCGTTGGTGAGTGACTTGCAGGCGTCTTGTTCAGGTAGGGGGTAGTTGACGGTTATACCCAGGGCTCTCGCTTTGACTATGGGCTTCAGATCATCGGTGTCAGCGACTGGAGGGGAAAATTGAATTCAATTCAATTGATGATTGATGATGGAGAGTTGAACTTAATTGAATGAACTTTACGCTTCAACTATTTTTTGGAACACTAGCGCAATCCTTTCATTATGCCCTTTTTCCTGTCGGACTCAATATTCCCTTTTTCAATTGATTGTTTATAATCATTCTCATTGCAGATTCTCCCATCCCCAGGAAAAACCCCACTCACCGACATTAAAATCCCACTCAGCCTCGACATTCGTCCCCTTGGCGAATTTACAGGGTGTCTTATCGCACCCTTTGACCCTCAGCCCTTCCGGTGCTGGCCCTCCACTCTTGCACTTGGTGAATGGTGTATCCTGCAGGGAGGCAGCCACGCAGAACCCCACGATAACTAACACTGCACACAAAACCACATTGTCCCCTCACATCAGAAAAATCAATAGTCCTCCATTAAAAAATAGGCGAAACACATTTCAAGTTCATCGCAGCTGGAAAAATTAATCGTCCAAGACCTGTTTTTATTTTAATTATTGAAAAAAAACAATTATTAAGTCAAACAAATTATTTTTTCAATTAGTTGATTAATTTTTTCCGTTAAATGAAGAATTATTATAATATATATTTTTAATTGTTAAAATGAAAAAAAATCATCGAAATGTAAATAAATAAATTAATAATAAGAATGATAACAATGAGTACTTTTCTATTCTTAGGGATATCCAAGTATCTTGTGCAGTTTAGTACAGCTCCCACTATTAATTCAACTATTTTCAATCATCAAATTTGTCAATTAATTGCGTGAAAAAAATTTGAAAAAAATCATGAATATTCAGCGTCTTTAAAATTACATTTTGCACAGGATTATTATTTGCTTAAACATTCGTTGTTTATAAATAAATAATTGAAATTGTTTAAACTTTCGGAAACCTAATTTTTTCAGGCATTAAATCGACTTCTGGTAAAATTCTGAATACGAATAAATTTGATTGTTTATAAATTATTTATAGAAAATGCTCGTAATTTTAAAAAATTGCATGTTTCAAATTATTTCATCACTCTTCCTCCAAAAGTAGACTTTGTATTTTTTTCTGATTTAAAAAAAAAATTTTAATGGTTCAATATCGAGATTGAAATTTAGACCTGCGAAGTTTAAATAAAATCATTGTAAAATGTCCGGAAATTTAGGACCAAGTGGGGCTCAAATGGAACCTCCGATGTTCGATTACAAAATTCGAAAAGTATTTTACAGGTGAAAAAAATAGCACTTGGATATCCTTAAAAATAAACTTGTGAACAAGAAATCTTTCTTCCTGTTTGTCGAAACAGCTTTAAATTATTTCACAAATCTAAACGCATTGAGAGCGAATGTTAACTCCTGTCTCAATGAATAAATGAATGTCTGGCGATCACAAATAATACGCATAAACCGCTGGCCAATGACTGCGCGCGCGAAGCGCATCCGCTTTCCTATTAAAAAAACGTAGAAATTATTGTACATACCTTTGAGTCCCAGCATTTCTCGGGTTTATCAGCGTAACTGAGCTGGCCCCAACTAAATTCCCTTATATACTTTTGATCGCAGATGTATCTAATCGTTCACCGGGCTCTCGATAAATTACGAAATCATCAACACCTGCGTTCTGCAGTATCAAGTGATCGAAATTATCGAGAGATTGGGGTTTAATCTCATCATGATGATTGTGGGGAATTTTTCACGAGTTGGAATCCAAGAATTGTTTTATTCACATGTATGTACTTCAGACGTCTTCAGTTGTCGCAAGAAAAAAAAGGCAGCGGGAAAGGAATGTAGAGAAAAATTCAGATAACTTTTTTTTTCTGGGTCAATGTTGTTTAGGTTCGAACAGTCTTGAAGGTCAAATGGGAGAGATAGGTGAAGGGTTAAATATTCTTAAGGGTTAAACGGGAGAGACGAGCGCAGTAATCAGAAGGGTCAAACGCTCTTAAGGGTCTAACGGGTGCCCTTAAAGGCCTAATGGGCATTCTTAAGGGTCTAATGGGAGAGCGAGGAGAGTGATCACTTCGCTCGTCTCTCTCGTTTGACCCCTCGACTCCTCCGCCTGTCTCTTCCATTTGACCCTTGAGAAAGTTTAATTCTTCTGGTCCGCTCCCTTTTATTGCTCTAAAAAATAATGAACCGTCAAATGATCTTGAGGGTCAAACGGGAGAGACACGTGGAGGGTCAAATATTCTTGAGGGTTAAACGGAAGAGAAGGTGTAGTGGGAGAGACAGTGGCATGATCGTCTCTTCCTTCTGGCCCTTTTGCCCTCTCCACTTGTCTGGGGAGTGTTCACTTGGCTCGTCTCTCCCGTTTGACCCTTGAGAAAGGTTAATTTTTCTGGTCTGCCTTCCTTTATTGCTCTAAAAAATAATGATACGTCAAATGATCTTGACGTATCACTATCAAACGGGAGAGACAGGAGGAGAGTAAAATTTTCTTAAGGGTTAAACGGGAGAGACGAGCGAAGTTTAACCCGTCAAATGATTCGTCCCGTTTAATGATACGTCAAATGATCTTGAGGGTCAAACGGGAGAGACAGGAGGGTAAAATTTTCTTAAGGGTTAAACGGGAGGGACGAGGGGAGTGATCACTTCGCTCGTCTCTCTCGTTTGACCCCTCGACTCCTCCGCCTGTCTCTTCCATTTGACCCCTGAGAAAGTTTAATTCTTCTGGTCCGCTCCCTTTTATTGCTCTAAAAAATAATGAACCGTCAAATGATCTTGAGGGTTAAACGGGAGAGACAGGTGGAGGGTAAAATATTCTCAAGGGTCTAATGGGAGAGACGAGGAGAGTGATCACTTCGCGCGTTTTTCCCGTTTGACCCTCTTGTCTCCTCCGCCTGTCTCCCATTTGATCCTCAATTCTGTTCGACCCTGAAACAGCGAAATTCGCTGCTTTTCCACTTTTTCTCGTGTTCCATTTTGCCCCACCCTTCCTTGTGCATTCCACATAGATAACTGAAGATTGTCTTCATCGAGATTATACTTGTATCGATGCGATATAATAAATTTTATTATTAAATATCAATTATTAGATTATACAAGTTTGTTTATTTTTTGAATGCTTAAAATCTTTGAAATGTTGAGGAAATTGGTCCCCTGATATTCTGCGGATATTTTCAAACATGTAGGGGACGGTGGGGCAAAATGAAACACGGGGCAAAATGAAACAGCAAGAAAATCTTGTGATCTAAGGGAGATAGGAGGATTTTCATGGAAACCTTTTTTGTAGAGAATTTTACAAGCTACAAAAAAGGTCCTCTTCAAAAATGTCCTATCTCCTTTAGATGACGAGATTTTCCCACTGTTTCATTTTGCCCCGTGTTTCATTTTGCCCCATGCTCCCCTATCAATTTCCTGATGATTGTTATCATCGGAAGATTTATTCGGACTTCAGGTGGGTTGTAATACTTAGATAGTAGATGTGAGTGATATTTGGGCCTATGATACGGAGAATAGATTACAATTGCATGGGAATAGTATTTTTATCTTTACGTTTTCTTGCATTTCGGTGGCTTCCAAGTGGGCATTCTCACGAATTTCTCGACGATAATGTCGTGCAGTCTTCTGGGAACGAATTTTAAAAGGGCGTGGTAGTAAGTGTATCTCCAAGGTTCACATCTGAAAATAGAAAAACATTATTATTGTTACAAGCATCTGAAGGAAAACGACGAAAATTTTAGTCTTTGTTTTGGAAATCGGATGAAACGAGATGAAGATGATCTGAAGAGGATAAATAATTTGATGAAATTTTTGAAAACGAAGTGAGGGCGCCGCCATCTTTGAAGCACTTCAGGGCAAGACAAGATGGCGGCGCCCTCACCTCGTGTTTTCAAATAGCTTTTACAATTATTTATCCTCTTCAGATCATCCCCAACTCACTCCATCCGGTTTCTGTAAAATGAACAAATTTTTTCAGCCATCTTTCAGATTTTTCCATCGTCTTTTGGCTGAGAATTGATGTCGCAAACTCTTAAAAACGTCTTCTCCTCACTTGTAAGTGCTTCTCGCCGGCTCCTCCATAATCACATCCTCAAATATCTCAAAAAGCCTCTCATTATTGATTCTCTTTAGGGCATTCTGCTGCGACAACGGCCTCAAGTAATTTCTATATTCATTGAAATATTCCCCATAAACTGATTTCGCCTCTTCCTTCATCGCTTTGTCCATCTTCTCGAAATGATCAGCCTGTCGCAGGAGAATATTGCTCTCCATGACGAAAGAGCCAGGGATGAAAGTCACGACGTCAACTTCGAACTTCTTCAACTCGATCCTGAGGGCAGTCGCCCAGGCAGCCAGAGCTGCCTTGGTCGCTCCGTACGCAGCAACACCGGGTAATGGTTCCTGCGCACAGTGACTCGTGACGATTGTTAATCGACTCTTGTGTTGGCGGAGGAGTGGAAGCATCGACTTTGTAAGTCTCATTGTGCCCAGGAGATTCACCTCTACCTGGTGACGGATTTGAGAGTCTGTCTGCCACTCAAACTCACCGAACACCATTGCCCCAGCGTTATTTACTAATGCTCTCAGACCTGAAAGAAAATTCATCGGATGACGAAACGTGATTTGGAAATTAGGGTCTAGCTTGAAAACGAGTGGGTCTAGGAGAAATGTTTATAGAAACTTTTTTGTTGAGGAGAAAATTTCCAACAAAAAATGTCTTATGCTGTTTTCTTGTAAAATCACTCGTAATTGAGATAAAATCATGTTTAAGGGGGCTTGAAAGTAGAAAAGACTAATGAAGTGCGGAAAAAACTTTGAGTCTTGAATTCTCAGTCAAAAAGGGATGCAAAAATCTGAAAGATGGCTAAAAAAATTGTTCCTTCTGCAGAAATCGGATGCAGCGAGTGGAGGATGATGTGAAGAGGATTAATAATTTTAAGAAATGTTTAAAAACACGAGGTGAGGGCGGCACCATCTTTGAAACCCCTTGAGGCAGAGGAAGGGGGTGTCCAAGCAAGATGGCGGGGCCCACACCTGTTACCACCTCGAATTTTTGAACATTTCTTAAAATTATTTATCCTTTTCCAATCACCCTCAACTTGCTACATTTTATTCCCAAAAAAGGAATAAATTTTTCAAGATATTCTCCACATTCTTCCATCCTCACATTTTTTCATGAATAATCTCAGAAACTAGCGCATCTACGTGAAAACTTCATACGACCTTATCTGAAGCTCACAAAATTCCCCACAAAAAATGTCATATGGAATTTTTTCCCACCTCCAGTCGTTACCCAGAAAATCCAACATTTATAAAACCATAAAAAATTGACTCTTCCTGAAAGAAAAATGAAGATAAAACCACTCACATAAATTGTCTCGTTCCAGGTACTCCCGGACCTTTTCCACAAAGTGCTCCACACTCTCAGCGTCAGTGATATCAATCTCCTGGATAGTGATGCCCGTCTTTACGAGTTCCTGAGCCCCCAAACTGTTCCTTCCATGGACCCCGGCAATCACTCTAGCCGAGAGATTTTTATGGCAGTGAAGGGCGAGATTGTAACCGAGGCCTGAGTCACAGCCAGTTAATACGATCGTATCTCTATGTGTTATTTTCCGGAGGGATCTTTTCGTTAAATAAAAACATGCGACTCCTGTGGAAAATGAAATTGTCTGATACTTTCCCCTTCAATGATTTTCTTTTCTTTTAGAAGCCACTTTGCTTCGATTTTTCGTGAATATCTCAAAATCTGTGGGAGATAGAAAAATTTTTATGGGAACGTTTTTCTAGCTCTTGAAATTCTCCATAAAAAATATTTCAACAAAAATTTTTGCGTTCCCCATAAATTTTGAGATATTCATGAAAAACTAACGCTTAAAAATTTTTTTTTTACTTTTTGATGCAATTGTTTTGGTTTTTCATGAATAACTCAAAATCTATGGGAGATGGAAAAATTTTAGTATAAGGATTTTTTGCAGCTCTTGAAATTCTCTACAAAAATGATTTTGACAAAAATTTTTGCATCCCCCATGGATTTTGAAATATTCATGAAAAACTAAAGCTCAAAAAATTTTTTTTTGTTTTTTTTTACGTAATTCTTGTTTTGGTTTTTCGTGAATATCTCAAAATCTATGGGAGATACGAAAATTTTTGTATGAACATTTTTTGTAGGCCGTGAAATTCTTCATAAAAAAGATTCTGAGGTGAATTTTAGTATTCTCCACAGATTTTGAGATATTAATGAAAAACTGGAGCTCAAACACTGTTGAAACTCACCGGAAGTCAGCAGTAAAGCAGTCGCCGGTGAAGATATACTGCCGCTTTTCCACAGGCACATGACGGAAGAGAAAAAACCAACAGATAAACAATTCCTCCTCAGCAAGTTCTTCATCCCAATTTGAATTTTAAACACAAATAAAAATTAATTCACAGAAATACTTTCTAAAAAATATTGTAAACCACGAGAAAGCGAATTCCGTGAAATATAAAAAAGGGATATTTCCAGAGAAAAGACAATGATTAAAGATATAAAAACGTGGACCACTGAATTCTCCAGCGATCTTCGTTCTCCGGCTGTCGAGACATCGAATGCTTCATCCGAACTCTCGGTCCGAAGTCCCCACCTCCGTCATTCCTGTTTCCCATCCCCTCTTATTTTTTCTCATATTTTTCCCTCCCGACCTGTTTTCACGGGTATTCAGGCCCTCAGAGATAATTTTCGAGTTGAGGGTGAGGACTTGGAGCGCAGCGATGCATCGGGAGCATTAGATTAAACATAAGTTTGTAGACTCAGTGACAAATGGATCGATTCCTGACCCTCGGTCTTTTGAAAATGAAAACGGGTCCGGGGGTTCGGAAAATTTATCTCCGGGATTTTATCAAGATTTTGGGAGAGGAGATTTTTTTGTGGATTTCAACGATTTTTCGTTTTTTCCATCTTTTCAGATTTTATTTTTTACTTTTTAAGATTAGTGAACAACTAAATAAAATGAATTAAGTAAATTGATAAATAATAATATTTATTCATAATTTATTAATAAATTAGTAAATTTTTTGTTTTTTCCAACTTTTCAGGAGATTTAATTTTTTATTTTTAACATTAGTGCACAATTCACATGAAAAAATGAAATTGAAAATTAATTTTTTTTCATGAAATAAAAATGGAAAAGAAATTACACAACTGATTTTTTGATAATAAATTATCACTTTCTTCTGTTGAATATTTATCGTTTCATATTATTTTGTTCAATTGAATTATATTTCTTCTTCAATCAATCATGTCAGATTATTTGTGAAAATTCTTGTATAAATCAAATGAAAGCATGCCGTTATCGATATTATCTCGGAACGGAAAATATCGATGTCAATAAAAAACGAAAAAAGTCATTCGATTCGGTGATAATTTTTTTCAAAGAAATAAAATAAAATTGAATGAATTATCGCGGAGATAATTCCCACGACTCCTCAAGGTCCCCAGCCCCTCCCAAATACATCCGAAATATGCAAAACACCCGAGTTGATTTTCATATTTGAATTTCAAATGAAAAGCCGAGATTTCTCAGCTGATTCCACGGGTTCTCTTCGTCTATCCGTTGTCGTTATATCCTCTAACGGTTGTAGAGGCAAGCGCCATTTCCACGGGTTCTCCAGGTATTCAAATTCACACGTGATTTTTTTTCTTTTTTTCCTGCGGCTGAGGCTAAAGATAGATTATGGGCAGTGTCAGCAGCACGTGTTTCGGTTAGAATGTATTTCTGACGTGCGGAAAAGATTCAACGAGGTCTCCTGGACGTATCGAATTCGATATAGGGTTGAAAAAATCTGCAGAATGGCTTGAAAAATTTGTTCATTCGCTGGGAATTGGATGAAACGAGATGAAAGTGATCTGAAGAGGATAAATGATTTTAAGAAATGTTTGAAAATGCGAGGTGAGGGCGCCGCCATCTTGGAAGCACTTTAGAGCAGTACAAGATGGCGGCGCGCTCACCTCGTGTTTTCAAACATTTGTTAAAATTATTTGTCTTGTCCAGGTCATTTTCAACTCGCTGCATCCGGTTTCTGTAGAATGAACAAATTTTTTGAAACATCTTTCAGATTTTTCCATCCCCTTTTGGCTGAGAATTCATGGTGCAAAGTTTTCCCCCATTTCAGTAGTTTTTTTTTACTTCGAGGCTTCTTAATAATGGAAGTATCTTGATTATGAGTCATTTTACAAGGAAAGACCATCAGGAATTTTTTGTTGGAAATTTTTTCCTCTACGAAAAAGATCCTGTAAACATTTATCCTAAAACATTTCTCGGTCAAAGGAGGGTGAAAAAATCTGAAGGATACCTTGAAAAACTCGTTCATTTTCTAGGAATTGGATGAGGCGAGATAAAGATAATTTAAAGAGGATAAATAATTTTAAGAAATGTTCCAAAATTCGAGGTAGCTAACAGGTGTGGACGCCGCCATCTTGCTTGGATACCCCCTCCCTCTTCCGCAAGGAGCTTCAAAGATGGCGGCGCCTCCACCTCGTGTTTTCAAACATGTCTTAAAATTATTTATCCTCTTCAGATCATCCTCAACTCGCTGCATGCGGTTTCTGTAGAAGGAACAAATTATTTAAGCCATCTTTCAGATTTTTCCATTCTCTTTTGGCTGAAAATTCATGGTGCAAAGTTTTTCACACAGTTTTTTTACTCCCAAAACCTCTTATAAAGAGGTAAATTCTGGGGTAAAGTAGAAAATACGAAAGACTGTTTCTCTTCCTCTGGTTAAATGTCAATTTTGTTGTGTTGAATTCAGGGAAAATTCAAGTTTCTGCGTAAACACCATCTTGATAATTTCACAATTCGAGATTTTGCCAAGTGGGAATGAAGAAAAGGCCATCAATGGAATAATCAGTATCGAATGTACTATACAAATCTTCAAATACATTTACATTAGATCAAAATATACATCGTAATCCTAGTCTTAATTACACAATTAATAAAAAGTAGACAAATGCATTGGGGATCAATTGGGGATGTGTTACCAAAGTTTCGATATCAAGCCCTAGATAACAAGGATAACGAATAGTTTTAGGAAGGAATGTCCGGAGACACCCCTAATCACCACAATAATCAAGCAATTACCAAAACTTTCTAAAACCTGAATGGAAAAACAGTATATTTTTCTATTTTCAAATGACAAAAACGAAAATTCAACTATCCCATCTTTGCAAATGTCAAATTATCTCGATAATGCCTAGTTTTACAAAAAAAATCAAGAGAACCCTTTCTGATGGAAATTAAATTCTCCATAAAAAACGTTCATTGAAATTTTTCCCTAAAACTACTCCTACCCAAGATAATTGGACAAAATGTTTGACAACATGACAGAAAAATTAATTTTCCCCATTCTCGTGAATAACAAATTATCTCCACAACTCATAAATGTCTTTTCAAAGCAGCTCCTCCCCAACAAAATTTAGATATCAACACAAAAAATCGGACAAACAAATCAATTTTTTTTGAAGTCGAATTGCCAATAAATATTCTGCGAAGAAAATCAAGTTCTCGCCCAAAAAATCTGCCAGCATTTCTCCTAAAATTATCACCTCCTCAATCCCAAAATTAAATGAACTCTCTCGACTTCCAGAAACACACCCCCAAGACTCCTCATTACCCCCCCCCCTCCTCCTCTCCTCCCTAAATTCTTTTCTTCTCGACATTGATATTAGGATTAGCCATGAGATTATAAGCAGGATCTCCATTAGTGGCCATTCTCCCAAGCCACGAGAACAAAATAATAATCATGACGAAGGAGAGCAGGCCAAAGACCCCAATGATGGCATAACGTTTGTAAAGTCCCCCCGAGGAGTTTCTCCTGCGCGCTGGAGGTCTCGTGATGAGTTTCCACCACCTGAGGAACCACTCAACAGCGGATTTCCTCTGGTACTTGTTCTCATCGTGATCGAAGGACATGTCCTTGGGATCGTCGTAAGCCTCGAAGACCTTTCGCTCCATCTGCCCTGACGACTCGATATTGACGACTGAGTACGGTGGCCCCTGCTTCTGAACAGCTGTGTGAACACTGTTCACGTGAGAGTTCACGGTACCACTGGTTCTGGCTGTTGCTGTTGAGGGCGATGATGTGGGAGTTATCGAGTGATTCTGGTAGACTGATGGAGCCTCTATTGGAGTGGGCTTTGGCTCGTGGATTGGCTTTTGCTCTCTGTCGATGCTTAACTATTAAAGAAAATTAATTAATTAATTAATTAATCATCATTATAATAATAATTATTATTATTAATTAATTTTCAGTATAATTAAAGGGATGATATTCATTAATTTTGATAATTCATGCCAATTAATTGATTAATTAATCAGGTATTGATCTGTAATTTATTGTAATTATTGGTTTATTTATTTCAATGTTCATTAATATTAATGACTTGATTAATTCATCGGTGTTCAGCATTTCTAAAATATAAATTTAATTAATTAAACCGATTGGAAACAAAATTTACCAATTTCATTACTTGAATTAATTAATTATTGTCAAAATTAATAAATGAAAAATAACGATAAATAATTATTGACTACTTACTCATTTCTTTGAAAACAATTAATACCAATGAAGCCATTAATTCGTCAGTTTATTTCATTTTTTCATTTCATTAATTCAATTAATCAAATTGTTTGGAAAGTAAATTAATGAATTAAATTAATTAAGTTAATTAATTAATTATTGTTAAAATGTATAAATGAATAGTAAACAAATAAAATGATTAATTCCATTAATAAAATTTAATTAGGTTAATTCCAAAGAAAATCGATGAATTGAAGAATTTAAAAAATTATAAAAATTAACGAAAAATGATGAGAGATTAATCATCATCTTCAATGATTCTTGAACTCACCAGAGGCAGACCGAGACCAGCTCTGGCCCAGTTGACACTCGCTAATTTTTGTTTCAAGACGTCAGCCACTGGAGAAACGAGATTTGCCTCTGGAAATATACCAGACTGGCACGTGGGGCAGGTGTAGCCTGCGGGTGCTGTTGTTGCTGGTAAATTTCTCGCGTATGCGTCCAGACAGGACCAGTGGAAGACGTGGTAACATGTTAATCTCACGCAGTCTGCGCTCTTCAGGGCCTCGTTGCAGAGGGTGCAGATGGGATTGCAGTCGCTGTCTTGGAGCCATTGGAGATACGATTGGACGACGCACTGTTGAAGATTAATTCAATTTTATCATCCTTTTAATCATGAACATCATTTTAAATTTAATGTTTTTTATCGGGGTATTTTAATTATTTATAAAGACATTTTGACCGAATGAATAATTAATAATAAATACAAATAATAAATTTCTGAATAAAAATTGATGCTAATTAATTGACTAATTCGTCAGTGTTTTTCCAAAGAATTTAATTAAAATTGAATTAATTTTAATTGAAGAACAGTCAATTCATTTTATTAAATTGATTTAATTCATCGAATCAAATAATGATTCATCATCCATATCATCTTAATTTGTTTTATTTTTTTTATCAGGGTATTTTAATTTTTTTAAAAGCCGTTTTGGTAGGTAATTGGAAAAAGGAGATGGATCAAGTCAGTTTTAGGAGGAGTTTTCGGGGAATATCTCGGAATCTATGGGAGATAGCGGAAATTTTGTAAAGGACTTTTTTAAAGAGAATTTCAAGAGCTACAAAAAAGGTTCTATGAAGAATTTTGGTATTCAGCTTAATTCAGCGATATTTAACAAAAACTTTGGATGAAATTGATTCAAGAACTTTTTGTTCGTTCGACGTTGAGGGTCAAAAGACTTAAGAACGTTTGGGGTTGAGGGTCAAATGGTTTTAGAGTTCAAACGGGTTAAGAGTGATCAGGAAGGCTTACTTGAACCTTAATCTGAGAGTCTCAAGAGTCGTTCGACCCTTACGTTAGACGATTTGACCTTCAACTCCAAACGTCCTTAAGGGTCATTTGATCCTTACGATCACTTGACCCTCAGCCCTGGACGTCATTAAGGGCCCATTGACCCTCAAGACCGTTTGAACCTCAATTAAAACATTAAATTAAGGACTTTGAGGGTCAAACGACCCTTAAGGGCGTTTGGTGTTGAGGGTAAAATGGTGTCGAGGGTCAAATGACCCGTAAAATCGTTTAGGATTAAGGGTCAAAAGTTCTCAAGGATCAAACGGCTTGGATCATAGTGATCAAAAAGGTCATTTGACCCTCAATCCTTCACGTCTCAAGGGTCGTTTGACCCTTAAGACGATGTGATCCTCGACTCGAAACGTCCTTAAGGGTCGTATGATCCTTACGATCGCTTGACCCTCAGTCCCGAGCATCATTAAGGGTCCATTGACCCTCAACATCATTTGACCCTCAACTAAAACATTAAGTTAAGGGCTTTGAGGGTCAGCCGACCCTTAAGGGCGTTTAGAGTTGAGGGTAAAATGGTCTCGAGGGTCAAACGACCCGTAAAATCGTTTAGGATTAAGGGTCAAAGGGTCTCAAGGATCAAACGGCTTGGATCATAGTGATTAAAAAGGTCATTTGACCCTCAATCCTTAACGTCTCAAGAGTCGTTTGACCTCTAAGACGATTTGATCCTCAACTTCGAACGTCCTTAAGGGTCGTTTCATCCCTACGACCACTCAACCCTCAGCCCCGAGCCTCAACAAGGGTCAATTGACCCTCACGACCATTTGACCCTCAACTACAAAGAAAAATAAAATCCCAATTTTCCCATTTTCAATCATCAATAACTCAAGATCGGCAGAGTGAAATTCGAAATTTTTTTCTTCATTTTGAAGATATCTTCCCAAGCTTCAAAATAAGCCCTGATTCACTGCAATCGCTTCGTTGGGTCAGGCAATATTCACGCTCTAACGAGCCTCCTTCAGCCTCCCCTTCCCTCAAGTCCCACAAAATTCCAAAGAAATTACTTGATTCCGTCAAAATCCATCAAATTCATCATTACTTCGTCATAATTTCATCATTACACATACCTTCGGGTGATTTGTCACCATACAGTGCTCACAAACATTAACCCTGTGCTCAAAACAAAACTGATTCGTCACTTTGCGTTTCGGGCACTTGCACAACCCCATTTTCAATCGCAAAAACAACTTTAACAAGCGAGCAAATTTTTCTCACTGGACTAGAAGAATTATCAACGTTTCAACATCACTAAAATCACAGTCTGGGGTCCTCTGTCAGTCCAATAACTCCACCATTTTTCCACCTACTTGCGGAGGGCCACGTCGCCTGCTGTCAGCTGGAGACTCAGTCGATAGTGCAGACTAGTGTCAACAAAACACCGGGGGTCTTCACAATTTGTCGGATGAATTCCGATTTTTTGAGCGAAAAAAATTGATTAATCTGAGCCATTCAAGGAACGGCAGTGATGAAAAGAGAATTTTACTATTAAAAATAATTCGGATTGTTTATTTTCGGTTTTTAGTGGTTGTGATTTGGAATTAATCAAAGGGAAAGGTTAGTTTTTATTATTTGTTTCTCATTAATTATATCTGGCGATGAACTTCGACGCAGTGAATTATTTTCGAGATGACTTTTACTTTTTTGAAATTTTTATCTTCATTTTTAATTTATTTTTCTTCATTTTTTTCAATTTTTATTTTTGTTATTTCTTGGAGAAAGAATTCTCTGTCAGATGATTTTCAGTTTTTGAACTGGAAAAAATTGGGGAATTTTGGGAAATTTTGTGATAAAAATTTTCTTTTTGACTTTATTTTCATTTTTTAATCCATTTTTTTGTTTTAATTGTCATCTATTTCTTCAATTCGACGCCCAGTTGTAGCAGCTTTATAAATTATATTTCGAATATAATTATTCGAAAAAGTTATCATTATTTGTACTATAATAATCATTTTTTCATAAAATGATTCAAACATTAGGGATTAATAAATCGAGAAAAATCAAAACTATTTTTATTTTATTTTCTACAACAATATTTATTCACAAGTATAGTTAAATGATCTTGATTTCGTTAGAATGATTTCTCATTCTACAAGATATTTTTCTTATCGATAATATTTTGTTCATCCGACAAACTCAGTGATTAATCGATGATTAATCAGTTCAGTCATGAAATGGAATTTTGGGGTTTATAAAATTTCAGATCAGTCATATCTGAATTTAAGAAAGATTATGGTAAATTTTCGTGAAAAACTTCTTGTAGAGAATTTCAAGAAATTAAAATTGAATTCCCTTCATTTCGCCAGTTCACAATTTAATCCAACATCAATAAAAGCTAATTATTACGTTTGAAGTCATCAGGTTCTTTAATCTCTCAAGGTCTTTGCTCTCATGTATCTGCAGTTATCAAAAATGTTCCTCCATAAATACCCCTGAAATGAATGAAAATCATTCGATAAATCCTCAAAAAACCAACAGATGAAACTAAAGACAAAAAAATTGAACAAGTGGGAAATTGCTCTCGTATGGACCTTGATCTGACCCTTGCGGCCCTTATTCTGACCCTCCGGACCCTTAATCTGATCCTCGTGACTCTTATTATGACCCTTGTGACCCCTAATCTTGCGAATTTTAATCTAACACACATGACCCTTAATATGACCCTTGTGGCCCTTATTCTGACCCTTGTGACCCTTTATCTGATCCATGTGACTCTTATTCTGACCCTTGTGACCTTTAATCTTGCGAACCTTGACCTGACACGCATAACCCTTAATCTGACCCTTGTGACCCTTAATCCGATCCTCGTGACTCTTAATCTAATCCTTGTAACCCTTAATCTTGCAAACTTTAATCTGACCCTTGTGGCCCTTATTCTGACCCTTGTGACCCTTAATCTGATCCTTGTGACTCTTATTCTGACCTTCGTCACTCTTATTCTGATTCTCGTGAATCTTATTCTGACCCTTGTGACCTTTAATCTTGCGAACCTTGACTTGACACGCATAACCCTTAAGCTGACCCTTGTGACCCTTAATCTTGCAAACTTTAATCTGACCCTTATGGCCCTTATTCTGACCCTTGTGACCCTTATTCTGACCTTCGTGACCCTTATTCTGATTCTCGTGAATCTTATTTTGACCCTTGTGACCTTTAATCTTGCGAACCTTGACTTGACACGTATAACCCTTAATCTGACCCTTGTGACCCTTAATGTGATCCTCGTGACTCTTAATCTAACCCTTGTGACCCTTATTCTGATTCTCGTGAATCGTATTCTGACCCTTGTGGCCCTTACTCTAACGTTCATGACCCTTATAACCCTTATTCAGACCCTCACGACCTTTGTGACCCTTATAACCCTTATTCAAACCCTCATGACCTTTGTGACCCTTAATACATAATGAGATAATGAAATTAATAACAATAAAATTTTATAAGCACTCACGATATTCATCCCTTAGTGGGGACTTTGTTAATGATCTTGCACGCCTGACACTCGACATGAAGAATGGACCTGTACCTCCTCCTGATCTCCCTCCTAATGTTCCTCAGGAGAAGATCCCCCTGGCACTTGGTGCACTTCATCATTTTTGCGATGAACCCCAGGTCAACTGTTCTCTCCCCCTTCACCGGGAACTCCACCTCCTGGACATTGTCGGACTCGTTCTGCTCGTTGGAGTGGTTCGAGCCACCCTCAGAATCCTTGACAGTGGATTCTTCTTCTATTTTTATGGCACTGACAGAAATGTCTTGAGGCCGTTGGACAGTGGAGTTTGTGGTTTGACTCCTCCTCACGATTTTCCCCGCTGCCTGCTTCAACTTCCTGTTGTAGAATTTTTCACTGACGACTTTTCCCTTCCACCGGTACTTCATTGAATTTGAGAAGTTGTACTTGGTTTTTTCAGTTTCAACTTCCACCTCCAGGGGCTGAATGTCCAGGGGGAGTTCTGGATCCAGGTGGACGGGTACTTGGTCCATCGGGAGGGGTTCAATTGTCTCCATCAGGTGCTTTGTTTATGTTTGCTTCGAGAGGGTTCAGGGTGAAGTGAGATTGTTTCTCGTTGGAGGTTATAATGTTTGTTGAGTTTTCCTGGAAGGATTCCTACTTTACCCACTGAAGCCAGGAAATTTCAAACTTCGTTGAAATTTCGACAAATTTCGTTGACTTTTTGAGGAAACCCAAAAAAATGATAATCTATCATTGACCATTTTTTTTATATGGATACGGCTATGGTTTCATTGCGGGGGATCACTTTGGAAAATGTGCAGTGCCATCTATCGGAATTCTAGAAAATTCTAGGCCTTTCTAGGTAATTCGAGAAGTTTCTTGAAATTTCGAGGGAATTCAGAGAGTTTCTAGAAAATTCTAGGAAGTTCAAGGATTTTCTGGAAAATTCCAGAAAATTCGAGGAGGTTCTGAAAAATTCAAGGGAATGCAGGGAGTTTCTAGAAATTCCGAGGAAATTCATTGAGGTTCTAGAAAATTCGAAGGAATGTGAGGAGTTTCTGGGAAATTCGAAGGAATTCAAGGAGTTTCTAGATATTGCGAGGAAATTCATGGAGTTTCTAGAAAATTCGAAGGAATTTAAGGATTTTGTAGAAACTTCGAGGAAATTGCTTTCAAGGGGATGCAAGGAATTTCTAGAAATTTCCAGGAAATCCAGGGAGTTTCTAGAAATTCCGAAAAAATTCATTAAAGTGTAGAAAATTCGAGGGAATTCAAAGAGTTTTTAGAAAATTCAAGGGAATGCAAGGAGTTTCCAGGAATTTCGAGGAGTTTCTAGAAAATTTGAAGGAATGCAAGGAGTTTTTAGGAATTTCGAGGAAATTCATGGAGTTTCTAGAAAATTCAAAGGAATGCAAGGAGTTTCTAGAAAATTCGGGGGAATTCAAGAAGTTTCTAGAAAATCCAAGGAAAGGCAAGGAGTTTGTAGAAATTTCGAGGGAATTCAAGGAATTTCTAGAAATTCCGGTGAAATTTAGGGAGTGTCGGCAATTTTATTTACCTGATTTTTTCTACATCTTAATTTTTATTCCGATTTTAACAACAAAAAACATTTATTCGTTCTGATTTTTCTTTTGAAATTGTCTTCTGCTTCAAGATGTGGGCTAACAAAGAGAGAGTCCTTGACGCCGATCAATGGAGAGTCGAGGCTGAAGCTATCATCAACGATATCAGAAGCCACGTAAAGGACATCAGAATATCCGAAGCACTTACGAGCACCAATAGTTCAATTTACCTCAATGTCACGACCCTCGAGAATCTAAAATTCTGCATTGAAGTGTCGCCGGAAGGGTTCAAAATCACCGGAAATGAACACAACGCCCTCGCAAATACCGAAAGCGAGGTTTACGAGACTCCTTACAGTTTGCTGGATTCGATATCTCCGATGTATCGGGAATCCTTTGGAAATTCGTTGATGGCGAAATTGAATAAATTATCTGAGAAACAATGATTCACTTGTGAAACGTAGAGTCTAGATAAATTGATCGGACTTTGCTGTCAGTTTTTTACGGATATCTCGGAATTTGAGAGAGATAGCGATTTTTTCATGAGGACATTTTTTATGGCAAATTTCAAGAGCTACAGAAATGGTCTTGACAAAAATTTCCAAATTTTCCACCAATCCTGAGATTTTTTGAAAAATTTGGCATATGAAGCGTGGGGCAATGTGGATGACGGGCAAATACCCCTATTTCACCTTTTCAAGGGTCAAATAGCGAGGGTAAAGAGGGTCAAACTCCAGGGTAGAGATGTTTTCTGAATGAAAAACAAAAATAAAAGGAAATACAAATGAAAATGGACTAAATTTATTTTTAAAATGTCAATAAAAATTTATGAATGTCAAAAATTTGACTTTTTTGCGTAGAGATGCGCCTTAAGCTCCTTCGGTAAGAATCCTCTAAGATTCCTGTTTCTGGATGAGAATAGAGTAAAGACCGCTGGGCAAACATCTCTATTTCCTTCTTCAAAGGTCAAATAGTGAGGGTTAAGAGGGTCAAACCAGAGAGGCAGGAGGAGAGTTTGACCCTCAAATATCATTTAAGTAACCGAAACGGAAAGAAACTTGAAGAAAAAAAATTAAACAGAAATGAAGACAGAATTAATTTGAAAATAACAAACTTCAAAAAATGTAAATAAAAATTTATTATTTCAAAAAAATCGAGTTTTTTTCGCATGGAAATGCGCCTTGAGCTCCGTCGGTAAAGACCCTTCTTTAAGTAACAAAAATAGAAAAAAAAATTGTTTGCATAATAAAAAAAGAAAACAAATAGAAATGAAGACAGACTTAATTAAAAAATAACAAACTTCAAAAACCGTGAAATAAAAATTTGTCATTCCAAAAAAATCGACATTTTTTCGCATGGGGATGCGTCCTGAGCTCCAAATAGTAAGAGCCAAGAGGGTCAAACTCCCCCAGTCTCTCTCATTTGACCCTCAAATATTATTTAAAGTAATAAGAATGAAAAAAAATTGTCTGAATAAAATTTAAAAAAATCAAATCAAATCAAAATGCGAACAGAATTAATTAAAAATAATAAACTTCCAAAAAAATTGATAAAAATTTGTCATTTCAAAAAAATCGACATTTTTTTCGCATGGAGATGCGCCCTGAGCTCCGTCGGTAAACCCCCCCCCCAAGATCCCTGCAGTTGCCCCAGAAAATTTCTAGTGCCCCTTCTACACATCAACATCACCACTGCCCACAACCGAAGAGGAAAAAAGCCGATAACCGATACGATTGATACACCAAGTCCTCAGTCAAAAATCATGTACCTCTGATAGTTCTAATAAACATTAATATTGTTCGGTAATCAGTGATTTTAATCGCCCGCGAGGATGTCGGTGAATTTATCCAAGAACAATGAGTCCCTGGTGGCCGCCTGGACGAGCGTCGTGGACGACAAGTCTCCGGTCAACTGGTAAACTCCCATTTCTTTTTAAAAAATCATCGTTTATGGTTTGAATGTGACACTCGAGAGCGATGATTCAGCCACTCGACACAGGATTTTAGAGATTGGAAAGGGCTTGGCTGCCGATAAATTCCATTTTTTGAAAATTATTTTTGTCGACGAGGAGTGAATCCTGGGATTTGTTGAACTTAATCGAATGAAAATCATCGAGAAACTGATGATTTCGATGAGCTGAACATTGTTTATCGTTTTTTGGTGATTTTACAGTAGTGAGGGATGATTAATTGATGGGGAAATTCAGGAATGGAGCAGTTGAACGTGAGAGAATAGTCAGTTTATGGGCTTCAGGTTAATAGTTTAATTATCTCAATAATTATTGAGGTAATTTAATGTGAACTAGGTGATGGAGTGAAACGAAACAGAATAGAATAATTTTTTACGTTTCCTTAATTATTGAATCATCTCGAGCGTGAGTGATTTTAGAGATGAATGTCAGGGACATTTTTGTTGCTGATAAGATTGCCCACAAAAATGTCTCTGATATTCTTCTCTAAAATTACTGATTATCGAGATAATACCAAACTTAACGGGAATATTATTGTGAACAAATTCATTCATTCATCAATATTCAAGAGAACTTTCACCAGGAAGTTCACATCAAAAGAAGTATTTTGCAGTCTTGTATCGAAGGATTCACGAATCAAATTTGAATAAAAATATTGATGATTTAATAAAGTCCATTGTACCTCACCTTCTCATAAAAACTGATTTTTTTTTTCATATTTTTGTCGTTATCTCGAGACTGCGTGATTTTATACAAACAATATCATTAATATTCAGGAAACTTTTTTTTTTAATTGAAGGTCAAATGATCTTGAGGGTCAAACGGCCCTCAATGACCTTTGGAGATGAGGGTCAAGTTGTCTTAAGGGTCAAAGGGTCAATTCTCGATAATAACTTGTCATGTAATCGACACCCCAATGGTTTTGAAGGTCAGGCGAGCCTTAAGGACGTCTTTAATTGAGGGTCAAAAGGGTTAAAGTTCCATAAGGGTTGTTTGACACTCAACTTAAAAAACAAGTGTGAATATTTACTTTACCTTTAGTTGAGGGTCAAACAGTCCTCAATGATCTTTCGGGATGGGGGTCAAATGATCGCAAGGGTCAATAAGTCAATTGCTGACATGAACTAAGACTTTTTTCGAAAGGTCATTGAGGTAGTTCGACCCTCAATTAAAAACAAACAAAATTGTGGATATTTAGCTGGTTTTTAGTTGAGGGTCAAACAGCCCTCAATGACCTTTCGAAATGAGGGTCAACAAGTCAATTGCTGACACGAACCAAGCCGTTTAGAATTGAGGGGCAACGGAACTTACAGAAAATTTAGGCTTGAGAGTCAAATGGTCTCAAGGGTCATTTGACCCTTAATTAAATTGAGGATCAAAAACCTCAAGGGCGTTTAGGTCGAGGGTCAAATGACCCTTGAAACCATTTGACCCTCAATTGATACAAAAAAATCCTAACTCTACTTTGTTTTAGTTGGGGGTCGAATAACCCTCAATAACTTTCAAGATGAAGGTCAAACGACCCCAATGACCTTTTTAGGGTCAAATGATCCCGCGGGTCAACAACCCACTTGCTCCCAAAAACCCTACAATATTGCCTTCTCTATCCACCCCTAAGACTCACCTTTTCAATTTTCTCCAGAACTGTCTTCGGTTACATCAACCGAGCCGTTTAGAATTAAGGGTCAAATGAACCTCCAGGGCATTGAGGGTTGACAGTCCAATGGTTTCAAAGATCATTTGACCCTCAATTAAAACAAAAAAAATCCTGACTACTTTGTTTTTAGTTGAGGGTCAAACTACCCTCACTGACCTTTTCAAATGTGGGTCAAATGACCTTTCGAGGGTCAAATGATCCCGCGGCTCAACAACCCACTTGCTCCCAAAAACCCTACAATATTGCCTTCTCCGTCCACCCCTAAGACTCACCTTTTCAATTTTCTCCAGAACTGTTTTCGGTTACGACATCAACCGAGCCGTTTAGAATTAAGGGTCAAATGAACCTCAAGGGCATTGAGGGTTGACAGTCCAATGGTTTCAAAGATCATTTGACCCTCAATTAAAACAAAAAAAATCCTGACTACTTTGTTTTTAGTTGAGGGTCAAACTACCCTCACTGACCTTTTCAAATGTGGGTCAAATGACCTTTCGAGGGTCAAATGATCCCGCGGCTCAACAACCCACTTGCTCCCAAAAACCCTACAATATTGCCTTCTCCGTCCACCCCTAAGACTCACCTTTTCAATTTTCTCCAGAACTGTTTTCGGTTACGACATCAACCGAGCCGTTTAGAATTAAGGGTCAAATGAACCTCAAGGGCATTGAGGGTTGACAGTCCAATGGTTTCAAAGATCATTTGACCCTCAATTAAAACAAAAAAAATCCTGACTACTTTGTTTTTAGTTGAGGGTCAAACTACCCTCACTGACCTTTTCAAATGTGGGTCAAATGACCTTTCGAGGGTCAAATGATCCCGCGGCTCAACAACCCACTTGCTCCCAAAAACCCTACAATATTGCCTTCTCCGTCCACCCCTAAGACTCACCTTTTCAATTTTCTCCAGAACTGTTTTCGGTTACGACATCAACCGAGCCGTTTAGAATTAAGGGTCAAATGAACCTCAAGGGCATTGAGGGTTGACAGTCCAATGGTTTCAAAGATCATTTGACCCTCAATTAAAACAAAAAAAAACCTGACTACTTTGTTTTTAGTTGAGGGTCAAACTACCCTCACTGACCTTTTCAGATGTGGGTCAAATGACCCTCAATGACCTTTCGAGGGTCAAATGATCCCGCGGCTCAACAACCCACTTGCCCCGAAAAACCCCACAATATCACCTCCCCCTACCACCCCTAAAACTCACCTTCTCACTTTTCCTCAGGGCTGTCTTCGGCTACGAGGGTCAAACGAACAACCTGAAAGTGGTGTCCACCGGCAACGGTGGCCTCGAGGAGATGATCGAGGACCTGAACAGCGGTCACATAATGTACGCCTTCTGCCGTGTAATCGACACAAAAACAAGCCTCCCAAAATGCGTCCTAGTGAATTGGCAGGGCGAGCTCGCGCCAATAGTGCGCAAGGGCACCTGCGCCAATCACATCCGCGACATAGAGCGCCTGCTCAAGGGCGCCCACATCCAGGTAAACGCTCGCTCCGAGGAGGACGTCGAGGTGGACATGATCATGGAGAAATTGGCGCGAGCAACAGGCTCAGCTTACAAATTCCAAGCGCCTCGCAGCAAGGACGTGGGCAACACTCTGCCAGTGGGTACGACGTACAAACGAGTGATACCAGCGCAGGAGATAAACGCAACGGAACGCGACGAGTTCTGGCAGAAGGAGGAGCTCGAGGAGAAGGCGAGGGTCGAGCAGGAGAGGATCAGGAGGGAGAGGGAGAGACAGAGGCTGGAGCTGGAGACGAGATCGCGGGAGGAGAAGCAGAGCAAAATAAGGGAGGAGGAGGCGACACCTGTCGTCAGGAAGATTGAGCAGTCTGAGCAGAGGGTGCAGGAGCTCAAGAACCTGAGGAATCATCTCCAGAGGGCTGACAGCGACGACGAGGAGCCCAAGTCCAAGAGCGAGGAGCTGAGGAGGCAGAGGAGCAACGAGGCACAGCAGCTCATTGCCCAGAGGACGATCAACGCGAGAGCTGTCTTCGAGCAGAATTCAGCAGCTGGACAGATGAGGAGTGGATTTACACCTGGAAAGGCTGCCTCCAGGGTGACCAGGGTCGAGAGGGCGTCTGAGGGAAAACCTCAGCAGGTGCCCCAGGAGGTGGAGGAGATAAAAACACCTGAGGTGGTGAAGGATCAGCCTCAGGACGTCAAGGAAACCCTCGACGTCTGCAAGGATGCTCCTGTGGAGGTGATCGTCGATGAGCGCGAGGCCAAGCCTGAGGAGAGGAAGCCCACTGAGGAGATCAGCACGGTTGAGAATGAGTTGTACAATCAGCTCAGTGGGGAGAACTATCTTTATTTCGATCCTAATAATGAGGGAATGAAGGCCAGGGCTTTGTACGACTATCAGGCTGCTGATGACACTGAGATTACGTTTGATCCTGGGGATGTCATCACTCATATTGATGCTATTGATGAGGGATGGTGGCAGGGACTTGCGCCTGATGGTACTTATGGACTCTTTCCTGCTAATTATGTCGAGGTCATTGAGTATGCCAGCACATGAGGCGTGGGGGGCTGGGGTTATTAATGAGTATTAGAGGTTTAATTGGGGGGGGGGGGTTTTGGGGATCAGGAAAAGGGAAAGATATGGAATTAAATATTGATGGGTTTGATAACTTCCTAATGCAATAGGGAATTTTGAAGGAAATTGAAGAAGTCATCGTTGATGTCATCGTTGATTCTGGTGTTGAAGAGATTTTTTACTGGAGTCACTCGTTTTTGAGATAAATGGATAATTCACAAAAATGGAATTTGGGAGAATGAATGGTAATTGAAGTGTTTGCGAAGTGGATAATTATCTAGAAAATTTGTTAATTCTCGCTGCACTTCAACAATTTGTGAAATTTAATTCAGTTGAGGAGGGGTCAAACTGAATGAATGAAATGAAAATTAAATTTCAGAACTAAAATTGGTGATTATGATTATCAATTTGCTTGAGATTTGAAGGATTAGGCATTGATAATTTCCTAATGCAATAGGAAATGTTAAAAATAATTCAAGAAGTCATCGGGGTGTCCAGTAGAGATACTGGAGTTGAAGGAATTTTTTTGGGGATTTAATTCTCCGCAAAAATAGTCTCTTGAGATTTTTTTGTAGAGAAGATTTTTGAAGATAATTGAAGGAAAGTTTCTTGTTGAGGAATTGTCTTAGTGAGGAGTGGATTTACGAGAAAATGTCAGAAGACATTTTTTGTTGAGAATTTAATTCTCTACAAAAAAGGTCTGAAGACATTTTTCACTGGAGTCACTCGTTTTTTAGATAAATGGATAATTAACAAAAATGCAAAATGAACTTCTATTGATGATTCGTGAAATTTGGGAGAACGAATGGTAATTAAAGTGTTTGTGAAGTTGATAATTTTCTAGAGATTGAAAATTTGTTGATTCTCTCTGCTCTTCAACAATCTGTTGAATTTAGTTCAGTTGTGAAGGGGTAAAACTGAATGAATCAGACGAAACAATTTCCAAAGGAACATTTTTTAAAAGAAACTATTCAAATGAATTTATTTCTTCAGAGAAGTCCCTGAAAAAGTAGTTCTTAAAATTCATCTAAAAAAAGTTTCCACAAAAATTGAAAAAATCATTTGATTTTAAAATTCAGTCCAATAGATTTTTTTTCGAAGATTTGTTTATTCGATTCCCTCGTTCAATTCTACCACTTCACCATTGAATGACTATTGATAAGAATTACTGAACAACTGAAGCCAAAACCCCTAACTCTGAAATGAAAGTGACATTCATCAAGCGTGCAATGTATTTTTCTAACATTCAGCTCCACCAGAATGAGAAAAAACAAGTACTTAACGTCAACTGATGAATTTTGAAATTCTAAAACCCTGAAATTTTGTACATCATTTCAACGATCACATCGCTGGCTTCAGTTGGGCGAGGAAGACCCTATGCCGTTATCTTCCGGAGAAAATAGTGTCTAATGAATTGCGGAATTTTTACTTCCTGTTGATAGTTCATAGAGAAGAGTGGGGCAAAATGAAATGATTGTTTAACACAACTGAGGAAACTTTTTTTTGTTGGTTTAATTGAGGGTCAAATGAGCTTCAGGATTTTTGGAGGTGAGGGTCATTTGACCCTCAACCCTGAACATTCTGAAGGCCTTTTGATACTCAAGGCCAGTTGACCCACAATTAAAAACAAAAATAAAAATTTACCGAATATTTTTTTAGATGAGGGTCAATCGTTTTAAGGGTCTAATGGCCCTTGAGGACGTTTAGGGTTGAGGGTCATTTGACCCTTATAGCAATTTGACCCTCGACCTTGAATGTTTTCAGTCTTTTGACTCAAGACCATTTGACCCTTAAATAAAAACGAAAAGAAAAATTTCGCAAACATTATTTTTAGGTGAGGGTCAATGGTTTTAAGGGCCAAATGGCCCTTAAGAACGTCTAGGACTGACGGTCAAATGGTCTTGGAGGTCGTTTGACCCTTAAGAAAATTTAACCCTCATCTCCGAAGGTCATTAAGGATTGTTTGACCCTCAAAACCATTTAAATGTCAACTTAAAACAAAAAAAAGGTTCCTGAATATTTTTATAGTCGAGGGGCAATGGTGTCAAGGGTCAAACGACCCTTGCAGACGTTTGGGGTTGAGGGTCAACCGAGCTTTAAGAACGTTGAGAGTTGATGGTAGAATGGTTTTGAGGGTAAAACAGCCCTTAAAAAGGTTCAAGTTTGAAGTCAAATGGTCTTGAAGGTCGTTTGACCTCTAAGATAATTTAACCCTCATCTTCAAACGTCATTAAGGACTGTTTGACCCTCAAGACCATTCGAACCTCAACTAAAAACAAAAACAAATGGTTCCTGAATATTGTTTTTTAGTTGAGGGTCAAACGACCCTTGAGAAGGTTAAGGTTGAGGGTCAAATGGTCTTGAGAGTCAAAGGACCCTCAATCACCCTTGTAAATGAGGGTCAAAAATCTTATGAAAGTTTAGGGTCAAGGGTCAAACAATCCTAATGATCGTTTGACCCTCGGTTAAAAAACAAGTCTTTTCAATCATTTTTAAATCGTGGTTTTACCTAGTATTTCATTTTGCCCCAGTCTACCTTAATTTCGTACTAGTAGTATGTGAATCCTCCAAGTATAGAATTCATTATTCAATTTCCATAATTGAACATCACAGTAAAATAATTTTCATCTGTATTAAAATACTTTTTAACGGCTGTTAAAGCCTCCAGCATTGAAAATTTCTGTAAAAAAACTCACTATCCATGTTTTATCTTTACTTCAATCGCCTGATAATTATGAAAAATAGTTCTACACCTGAAGGATCACAATAGTATAAAGATATTTAATTAATAAATTCAGAACTCAAATAGTTAAGAACCAAATTTATAATACATTTTTTAAGTTTTTAAGAAAAATACAAGATTTTTCGCATTTATCACTCAATCATGACTTTATCATTAATAAAAAAAATCATTATGAGATCTCACACTCAGTGGAATGAGTGTCAGTCACACCACGACTGCTCGAGAAAATGAAAATCGAACAATTTCAGAGATTTTTTTTATTATTATTTAACATAAATAGAAAAGAGGGACTAAGGAATTTGAACAAATAGTTGAGTTCATTTTTCTGTATCTAGTTGAATGATTTGTGAAGATATTTACAATGATGTGCTATTACTTTAATCGACAATTTGAAATGCAGAACTGAATTGTTCGGAAATTTGTCCAGAGAATAATGCATAATGAAACGTAATGTGAAGATGCAATTGGTTTTCATGCACGAGTACTCAATTGTTATTCAATCGCAATAATGCAATATGTTCATTGCAATGTATGGAATAAATTTGATTTTAACTTTCATGGAATAAATCTGTTTTTCATAACTTTGTCAATTTTTTTTTTGCAAAATATGTTTTATTTCATTTTTTTGTCTTATAAAGAGATTGAGACTTTACGAACTGGAATTAGTCGTAAAATTGGAAAAATATTGATTTTTCGGATAATTTTTTGGAAGGTCAAACGTTTTCGTGGGTCAAACAACATTAAAGGGCGTTTAGGGTTGAGGGTCAAATAGGCTTGAAGGTCGGTTGACCCTCAAGACGATTTGACCCTCAGCCAAAAATGAAATGATTATTCAGAAAACTTTTTCTGTTATTTTGTTTTTTAGTTGAGCCATTCGAAGGTAAAATGGTCTTTGCAATCGTTGGATCCATTCGAGGGTCAAGTGGATTTTGAAATAGTTTGACCCATTGGAGGGTTAAATAGCTTTTGCAAACATTTGACCCATTTGATTATCAAGTGGTCTTTGGAATCTTTTGACCCATTTGAAGGGCAAATGGTCTGCAATAGTTTGACCCATTTGAAGGTCAAATGGTCTTTGAATAGTCTGATTTAAGGGTCAAATGGAATCTGAAATAGTTTGACCCATTCGAGGGTCAAATGGAATTTGAAATAGCCTGACCCATTGGAGTGTCAAATTGCTTCTGCAATCCTTTGACCCATTTGAGGGTCAAATGGAATTTGAAATAGTTTGACCCATTGGTGTGTCAAATTGCTTTTGCAGTCCTTGGACCCATTTGATTATCAAATTGTTTTTGGAATCGTTTAACCCATTTGAAGGTCAAATGGTCTTTGCAATCGTTTGACCCATTTAAAGGTCAAATACAATCTGACATAGTTTGACCCATTTGAGGGTCAAATGGAATTTGAAATAGTCTGACCCATTGGAGTGTCAAATTGCTTCTGTAATCCTTTGACCCATTTGAGGGTCAAATGGAATTTGAAATAGTTTGACCCATTGGTGTGTCAAATTGCTTTTGCAGTCCTTGGACCCATTTGATTATCAAATTGTTTTTGGAATCGTTTAACCCATTTGAAGGTCAAATGGTCTTTGCAATCGTTTGACCCATTTAAAGGTCAAATAGAATCTGACATAGTTTGACCCATTTGAGGGTCAAATGGAATTTGAAATAGTCTGACCCATTGGAGTATCAAATTGCTTTTGCAATCCTTTGACCCATTTGAGGGTCCAAAGGAATTTGAAATAGTTTGACCCATTGGAGTATTAAATGGCTTTTGCAATCCTTTGACCCATTTAATTATCAAATTGTCTTTGGAATTTGACCCATTTGAGGGTCAAATGTAATTTGACGTAGTTTGACCCATTTGAGGGTAAAATGGCTTTTGCAATCCTTTGATCCATTTGATTATCAAATGGTCTTTGGAATCGTTTGACCATCAAAACCATTTGACCCTCAACTGAAATTTAAAAAAATTTCCCTGAATTTTTATTTCATCTTCAATTGAGGGTCAAATGGTCCTCAGGGTTATTATTTCACCCTCAATGAAAAGGTCTCTGAATTTCAAGTATTTATTTTCCCTTTAAAAAAAACTCTTTCCATCGCCTTCAAACTCCAAAAGACATCCAAAAAAATCCTTCTGCTCCATCTCAAAGAAATACCGGAAGTCTCCAATTTTTTCCAGAACACAAGAGTCTTGGATGCAACTCGTCATGACTATTCACACCCAATCACTTCACCTCCTGTACCCAGGGTTCGGATTGCCCCCAGTGGCACCACTGCCAGCATGACTGAGGAATGCCAAGTGTCCTTTTGGGCATTTGTTAGCGTAATGTCCCTTCGTCCCACATTTGTAACACGTCACCTCCTCCAGGGGCTTCTGGGGCCCTCGAGGGGGTGGACCATTGTGCATGCTCATGTGGTAGTTGTGTTGATGGGGTCCACCACCTTCCAGCTCCTGTCTCACTTGTGCCTCACGCACCTCAGCTGGCATTTTGTTGCAGTAAATCGCTTTGTGGCCACCTTCGCCGCAAAAGTGACACGTTATCATCACTTTTTTACCCTCTTTCGGCTGCATATCTTGAACTGCTGGCAGCTCGAATCTTGGGCTGGATGGAGAGAAGGTATCATTCATGAGGGAAATTTATTTTTTTATTAATTTAGGAATTCATTGGTGGAACGGAAAGGAAAAATTGTGGATGTTAATCGTTTTTTAGAGGCGTTTTTGCTAATTATCTGGAAACAGGTGGTTTTAGGAAGAAATGTGTTTAGACCTTTTTTGTAGCTGAGAAAATTCCCCACGAGAAATATCTTATGAATTTTTCTCGTAGACCCATCCATTATCGAGATTTTTCAACATAACAAATTATTCATTTTCATGAGTTCACGATATTTTTTGTTAATTCTCTCAGTCAATTAATTTTAGACAAAAAATCAAGAGATGTCTTTTATATCTGGCTAAATATCTATGTACAAAGGCAACTAATTACCAAGAAAATTAAACATTCATGAAGTTCTGATTAATTTAATAATTAATTGCTAGAACTCAACGAGAAAATTGACTTTAATCACTTTCTTACTATAATTTTTCTTAATTATCTCGAAAACTATTAATTTCAGGAGGAAACGTGTCCTGACCTTTTTTGTAGCTGAGAAAATTCCCCACGAAAAATGTTTCATGACATTTTCTCCTAAAGCCACCCAATATCGAGATATTTCAACATGAAAAATTATCAATTTTCACCAGTTTGTCACAGCGATTTTTGTCAACTACCCCAAAAGCATTTAATTGTAAACAAAATATCCGCTGACTAAAACCACTAGTTCCCAACATAATCAGACATTAATGAGCATGTACGACTCTAGAACACCTACGACAAGGATCACATCGCAGGGCAAAAATCTGACGAAGAAAACTCACTGCATGAATTTGCAACTGGAGCCATCAGGACAAAATCCAGCTAGATAGGCCATACAGAGGACTCGTCTGACGTGTCTGTGACGACAGAGTGGACCGTGCCTGCAGAAGCCTCTATCATACCAGGGACAGTCTCGGACTTTAGTCTCGGGGTCTATGTGCAAAAATGGGCACTCCTTGTTGTGGCAGGCGTCTGCAATTTAATTTTAAATTAACATCACCTGTTTCGAGTTATATGGGAATTTGCACAAGAACCATTTAATGTCTTGATCATCATCGCTATATACTGTAACTGGATCTAAGCGATGTAAAATAGCGATAAAAAAAGAAGAATATGAGAGATTTGAATGCGTTATTTTATTCATCGTTTTTTTTGCATTTAATCCTCGGTTTGTGGGTAATAAACGTTTGACTAGAATTATGAGTCACAAAAACGTTGATGTCTTCTGAACCAATGATGCGATTTTTAAAAGTCTTTTCATTTCAAAGCTTGATGGAAAATGTTCAAGAGGAAAAAAAATCGTCTGAATTCACTCTGCCAAACTCGAGATATTGACGTGTGAAGATATGATTTGAAAAGAATTTTTTTCAGCTTATGATTTCAATTTTTGTGAATGAAATAATTGCTTCATTGAATCATAATTTTTTATACTAGAATTCTGAATATAGTTGAGAACAAGAAGTCTTAAATATTATGAATTTATGAATTGAAATCAATTTTTTAAACTTCAAAATTGAAAAATTTAGAAATCATGATATTATAAAATTGTTAATATCTGCCGAACAAACGATGCGATTTTCAAAAGTCTGATTTCATTTCAAAGCTTCATAAAAAATTTTCAAAATAAAAAAAAAATCGGCGAATTTTGCTCTGCCAATTTTGAGATATTGACTCTCACAAATTTAATTTAAATGATTTTATTAGAAAGAGAATTTTTTTCCTCTTATGATTTGAATTTTTGTGAATGAAATAATTGCTTCATTGAATCATAATTTTTTATACTAGAATTCTGAATATAGTTGAGAACAATAAGTCTTAAATATTATGAATTTAAAATTGAGATCATTTTTTTAAACTTCAAAATTGAAAAATTTAGAAATCACGATATTATAAAATTGTTAATATCTGCCGAACAAATGATGCGATTTTCAAAAGTCTGATTTCATTTCAAAGCTTCATAAAAAATTTTCAAAATAAAAAAAAAATCGGCGAATTTTGCTCTGCCAATTTTGAGATATTGACTCTCACAAATTTAATTTAAATGATTTTATTAGAAAGAGAATTTTTTTCCTCTTATGATTTGAATTTTTGTGAATGAAATAATTGCTTCATTGAATCATAATTTTTTATACTAGAATTCTGAATATAGTTGAGAACAAGAAGTCTTAAATATTATGAATTTATGAATTGAAATCAATTTTTTAAACTTCAAAATTGAAAAATTTAGAAATCATGATATTATAAAATTGTTAATATCTGCCGAACAAATGATGCGATTTTCAAAAGTCTGATTTCATTTCAAAGCTTCATAAAAAATTTTCAAAATAAAAAAAAAATCGGCGATTTTTGCTCTGCCAATTTTGAGATATTGACTCTCACAAATTTAATTTAAATGATTTTATTAGAAAGCGAATTTTTTTCCTCTTATGATTTCAATTTTTGTGAATGAAATAATTCCTTCATTGAATCATAATTTGTCATACTAGAATTCTGAATATAGTTGAGAACAATAAGTCTTAAATATTATGGATTTAAAATTGAAATCATTTTTTTAAACTTCAAAATTGAAAAATTTAGAAATCACGATATTATAAAATTGTTAATATCTGCCGAACAAACGATGCGATTTTCAAAGGTCTGATTTCATTTCAAAGCTCGATAAAAACTCTTCAAAATGAAGAAAAAAGCGTCTGAATTCACTCAGCCAATCTCGAGATATTGGCCCCCAAAGCCCTGGCTTTTGACGTAAAAAATTCAGAAATTGTGTAACTCTCGAATTTTTAGCTTTTCAATTTGTTGAATAGCTCCAGTAATGACAAAATAATACAGAGAATTGTTTCGAGGAGCTGCAGTGATGGAGTTACTCACTAAACCTGGAGTAGAAGTAGCACTCTGGCATTTTCGTCATGTCATATTCATGGAGAAATTCGCACTGATCTCCCTTTTTGCAAAGTCCTCGAAGCCAGTGCTTGCAGACGATAGTTCTGTCCCCTCTGACATGTCTGAATGGGCACGACCCACCCTTGTTGCAGGCTCCACGGGGGTAAAATTGACAGACAGCGGCAGTGGATTCTATAATTAATTTCATTCGTGAAATGTCAATCATCAAATTCATCATCGATTCCATACCCGTAAATAAACATAAACATAACCTATAACCCGTCAACCTACTGTCCATGCCGGTGAACGGCAGCGGAAGGGCTCCATACTGCTCATCCAGGGCGATCTCAATATCAAACTTGAGATGATCAACATTGGCCACTATGTACTCCATCTCCACCCACAAACACTCCAAAAAACCAAACAACTCAAAAAAACACAAAACAACAGTTCTATTCTGCACAATTCCGTTCTAATCTTCCGGACAACTCGTGTCTCGTGTTCGATGGGAACTCGATCACTCGATTCCTCCGAATGTCGATACTCCACAGTCTGATAATCGATATTTTTATCGATACTTTTCCGGGTCGATTTATCGATATTTCCACTTCAATCGATATTTAATGCAAATTTATTCAATTGTTGTTTATTCAATTTTCTTTCATTTATTTTTATAAAATTTGCGAATTTAAACAATTTTTCAATTTTTTTGTTGCTGTTTAGGAGTTAGAGTCTTGAGGGTCAAATGGGAGAGACAGGCGGAGGGGTCAAGAGGGTCAAATCGGAGAGCGAGCGAAGGGATCACGTCCCTCCCATTAGGCTCTTAACGTTTGACCCTTCCGATTAGTCTGCTTGTCTCTCCCGTTTACCCTCAAGACTGTTTGACCCTAAAAAACATTTCACTCTTCATTATTTTTTTGAATAGTAGAGCTGGGAAAAAGTTATCTGGATTTTGTTACACATTCATCTCCCGCCTCCTTGTTTTACGCTCCCTTAAATTGACCCTTACACCCCTAAAACTCCCCTAAATCCAATGTAATCGATATTCTTGGGGTGCGATATATCGACCTCTCGATTTCAAAGATCGACTCATTTTTTCCTGCCTCCGCTTTTGCCCAACACTCCCCTAAATTGACCCGCACACCAGAACCGATCAATTAGCCCCTCGTGTATAGATATTCCAAATTTTTATTTTTTTCCTCATTGAAGTAGTTTTGAAGAAAATTGCGAGCTAATAAAAAACATTTGCTAGTTAGTACTTTTTTTAAAATAAATTTTTGAAAAATCACCCCTGAAAAAAAAGGCGTTATCCCCCCTATTTCATTATTTCCAAAAAATTTTATCACCAATCGGTAGCAAATTGTTTGAAGATTTTTGCGAGTTAAGAAAAAATCATCAATGCACTCCTATTATTGTGTAAATTAACAATTCCAATTTCAACTGAAAACCAGAATTGATAACCAGAGTTTGTAGCAGAAATGTCAGACAAGATGATGTCTGTTTTCAATTGAAAAGCGCAATTGTGACAACATTGTCCAGTGGGGTCTAGGAGTCTCCCCTGGTTCAAAACCATCTTTAGAGGCCCTAGAACGCCATTTCTCGGCCCGCTCTTTCATTTGAGCGCAAAAAAACATTCATATTTTGTCCGACATCTCTGCTACAAACTCGGGCCTTCAATTGAAAGCCCGAGTTGAAGACCCGAGTTTGTAGCAAAGATGTCAGACAAGATATGAATGTTTTTTTGGGCTCAAACGAAAGAGCGGGTCGAGAAATGGCGTGCTAGGACCTCTAAAGATGGTTTTGAACCAGGGGAGACTCCTAGACCCCAATGTTCTATACATACTCCTAGACCCCATTGTCCTCCTAGACAATGTTGTCACAACTCTGCTTTTCAATTGAAAACAGACATCATCTTTAGAGACATTTGTCATGTTTAGAGGCCCTAGCACGCCATTTCTCGACCCGCTCTTTCATTTGAGCCCAAAAAAACATTCATATCTTGTCTGACATCTTTGCTACAAACTCGGGTCTTCAACTCGGGCTTTCAATTGAAGGCCCGAGTTGTAGACCCGAGTTTGTAGCAGCGATGTCAGACAAGATATGAATGTTTTTTTGGGCTCAAATGAAAGAGCGGGTCGAGAAATGACGTGCTAGAGCCTCTAAACATGATAAATGTCTCTAAAGATGATGTCTGTTTTCAATTGAAAAGCAGAGTTGTGACATCGTTGTCTAGGAGGACAATGGGGTCTAGGAGTATGTATAGAACATTGGGTACCGAGTACCCAAAAAAGTACTAACTAGAAAATGTTTTTTATTAGCTCGCAATTTTCTTCAAAACTACTTCAATGAGGAAAAAAATGAAAATTTGGAATATCTATACATGAGGGGCTAATTGATCGGATCTNGTTGTGACATCGTTGTCTAGGAGGACAATGGGGTCTAGGAGTATGTATAGAACATTGGGTACCGAGTACCCAAAAAAGTACTAACTAGAAAATGTTTTTTATTAGCTCGCAATTTTCTTCAACACTACTTCAATGAGGAAAAAAATGAAAATTTGGAATATCTATACATGAGGGGCTAATTGATCGAATCTCTCACACCCCTAAAAATCTTCTAATAAATCGAGCCTAATCGACATTTTTCAGCGCGATTTATCGACTTATCGATTCTAAAGATCGACTCATTTTTTTCAACCGGCCCATTTTGCCCCACACTCCCCTAAAAGGACTCCCCCCCCCACAAAATCCCCTGAATCGAATCTAATCGACATTTTCAGCGCGATATATCGACTTATCGATTCTAAAGACCGACTAATTTTTTCCCCCGCCTCATTTCGCTCCATACTCTCCTAAATCGACTCCCTCCCCTAAAAGAATTCCCTAAATCAAATCTAATCGACATTTCTCCGTTCGATATATCAACCTTTCGATTGCAAAGATCGACTCATTTTTTCCAACCGCCCCATTTTACCCGCACTCCCCTAAACTAACCGTCAAACCCCTAAAAATCCCCTAAATCGAATCTAATCGATAGTATTTCAGCGCGATATATCGACCTATCGATGCGAAAGATCGACTTATTTTTTCCAACCGCCCCACTTTGCCCTATGCTCCCCAAAATCGACCCCCACCCCCAAAAAAATCCCTTAAATCGAATCTAATCGATATTTTTCAGTGCGATACATCGACTTATCGATTCTAAAGATCGACCCATACTTCCCAAAATCTACCCCCACCCCTAAGAAAAATCCCCTAAATTAAACCTAATCGATGTATTCCCTCGCGATACATCGACTCGACCGCTATCGACTCAACCCATCGACACAATCTCCCCCTCGCCCCAAAAACAGTCTCCCGTCGGGTTCCGCCATCTGCCCGAGACTCGCCGCAACTCCCCTCGCTGCACACACGACACACGCTATAAAAAACGGCAGGTGTCGACGTCCCTCCAGTAGTCACCCGCGGGTTATCGCCGAGGGTAGTCAATCACCCCGGTCGCCGCACATCGCTAGATGCGATTAAAAAAACCAAAAAAAAAACCCGTCACGAGAACAATTCCGCGGAAAATTTCTCGAACCGATTTCACTCCGAAATTTTCCTCTCGCGCAACGTTCAATCGCCGCGCCCCAGACACTCTGTCCCGTTATACCGACGAAAGATTGAACATTCCTCCGAGAAGAGGCAGTCCCTCTCACCTCCCGTGAGGTTCGGTCAGCGCACGAGAAGCCGGCGAATAACGCGGACTGATTGTGAGTCATACCGCAACGCGTTCATGTGTGTCCGGTGCTGATCTGCTGTTCTGTGAGGTTTTTCGCTTGTGTTTAGGGTGTCGGGGGGGGGTTTCGGAGGGCTTTGCGATCCGTCGAGGCGATTTTCCAGGTGAAGTTCAGTCAGAAACGAGAGGATTACGGATTATTTCTAGGCACAGGTAGGTCTGGGGCACCATGAGGTTCAGGTATTCAGAGGGGGTTCGGGAGGATTTTTTTCGGAGGTTCGAGGATGAGATCGCATGTGTGACGACAGCGCGCGCATGGTGTTCACACGGTTTGGGCGTCGCGGTTTCGATGGAGAACGAGGACGAACGGTTCGTCAAATAGTTGCGGGGGGGGGTATTTTTGCGAGCGGATGAGAGCTTTGGAATCGTTGAAATTCCAGTTTTGGATTTTTTGGATTCAATTGATCGCCAATGAAGCGATGGAATTTACTCTTTTCTGTTCAAATGTAAATTAAGTTCATGTATTAATTTTTGAGACGTTTAGAGTTTTTGCAAAAATCGGTTCTCCCGCGATGACTCAAAAATGTTCTGAATGCGTTGAATGATGGCTTAAAAATTGTTTTGATGTATGATTAGTGAAAATTAATAAAAAATAAATGGTAATAAAAATTGTTTATGATCATTTTTGCAAGTTTCTAATTTTTCGATAATTTCCCTGGGAATGAATTTTCCGACGGTTTCTTCAAACATGAAGTTTCAAATTCATTCAATTAAGTATTAATTAAGTTTTTCTAATACCGATTTATCGAAGTTTCAAGATAATATAGATAACAGCATTCTTTCATTTGATTTATACAAGAATTTTCACAAGAAATCTAACACAATTGATTGAAGAAGAAGTATAATTCAATTGAGCAAAATAATATGAAACGATAAATGATGTACGATAGAAGAAAATGATGTGCAAAATGACCATTGGGAAGCATATTGTTAATTTGTTAGCAATAATAGATATTATATAAAGAAAAAATATCAATAGAATAGAAAGTTGAATAGAAAAATCAAATTATATTCTCCATTGAACATTTTTATAAAAAAAATAAACAAACTGCGTAATTTGTCAATAGAATCGGCCAAAAACTAATAGAAATTCAATGGAATTTTCTAACGAATTCGCTGTTTTTCTAGCAAAATTTTTGCTGCTTATCTCCTTCATCATCTCCACACGTGGGATTGGCCGTTGAACCTCTTGTAAGAGCGATTGACTGATTGATTGATTTATTGATTGATTGATTGATTGGAGATGTATTCGCTACATTTTGTTGTACAAAGTAAAATAACGATAAAGTCATTGAGCGGGAAAAAATTTAATGGAAAGAGAAAGAGAGAACGTCATGCTATCAGCAAATAATGTGACAAAAGAAAGAGAGAGGGAGAGAGCGAGAAACTTTTAGCGCGAAGGGGAATTGGAGCAGCTGATCGAAAGGCATACCTTGCGTTTCCGTTGATAGTCTGACGTGATCCGTAATTAAGTTCTTCATATTGTCCGATGGATTTCCGCATCGACACGACATTCCGCCGAGTCTACGATTATTTTTATTTTGTTTAAGGGGAGAACGCCCTGAAATTTCAAAATCCCAGGGATTTTGGATTTTTCACCTTTAACATTTCGAGAAAAAAATTACAAGTTTGCCAACATTACGCCAATGTTGGCAGCCAGCATTGCCCCGGCATTGACAGCCAACATTGGGCCAACGTTGTGCCGACATTTAACCAACGCTGGTAGCCAACACTGACCCGGCATTGACAGCCGCCATCGGGCCAACGTTGACAGCCAACATTGTTCCGTCATCGGTAGCCGACACTGGACCAACATTGTGCCGACATTTGGCCAACGTGCGGCCAACATTGCCCCGACGTTTATATTTTCTTCTAACATTGACCGCCAACATTGCCCCAACGTTAATAGTTTTTACCTTTCCCTGAATATGGGTTTCAAATTAAATTTTTTAAGCAATAGATAATACAATGAATCCCATGATCGAACTCGATGGCATTGGAAAGAATATTTTAAATCATAATTAGATTCATTTAAATAATGCTTTTTTCAGTTGTCGAAAAACAATCGATTTTGAAATTTCAGTGCGATCGCCCCTCAAGTAATTAACCCCTCAGTCAATCACACATGACGTGTGAAAAACTTGAGTTGTTGATGCGATAAGAATTGTTTTTCTTGTTCATTCGCGATAACTTACAATCTTTCGATGCCGGAAACTATTTTAATGGACTTCTAATTTTCTAATAATTAATTTATTTATTTTATTTATTTTTTCGATCTCGAGACGGTAGATAATGGGAGATAGTGAGGACTTGGATGAATTGCGGAGTTACTTTTTAGATAATCAATTTTGTTGATTGATTGATTGAGGAAAATCGATAGGATATGTCAAGATATTTATGATTTTATGTGGAAATTTTTGCATTAAAATGGATATAAATGTATTTATGATATTTATTACCTTTAAGAATCATCAATTGTTTATTTTTAGAGATGAAAGAGAAAAATTTGGAAATTCCACATCGAAATCATTTTTTTCCTATTCACCTCGACTCGTAATTATGTTTCCAGAATAAATATTCAATACTAATTATAAATTCATTACCTGATGAATTCATCAAATAATTTGTTTATTTTTTTGATGATCGAGAAAAAATTTGAAATTCTGCAACGCAATAATTTTTTTAAATTGAAATTTCGAAATAGTATTTTGTAAAAATTCTTATTGATTATAAATGTTTGAATAATTAATCACTCATGATGGATTGATGAACTAATTTTTTTATTTTTGGAGATGTCAGAAAAAAACATGAAACTGCAGCGAAATCATTTTTTTTTATTCGCTTGACCTCGTAATTATGTTTCCGGAATGATTTTACAAGTGTCGTCAGCGTTTTTAAGTGGAAGTTGGCGGGAGCTACTTGAATAATCATCGAACACTCCAGGTGGAATCTTAGACATTTCAGAATTGTAATTCAAAAATTTTCCGTGACCGGTAGTTCACACCATTCACGGCCGCGTTTGAGGTGCATTGAAATATTGCGAAGGCTGAATCGTAATTCGGCATTCACTGGGTGGGGGTCAATAACAAGCGTCTGCTTTTGAAGTGGGCTTGGAGTTTATGCAAAAACGGTTTTACCGAGCCATTTGCGCGGTAGTGAGAAAATTTACGCGCGGAGAAATGGAGGAGATCCATTTTGCGATGGCTTTGAGGGTCAAATGAGCCTTAGGGAACATTAGGGTTGTGGGTCAAATGGCCTTGAGGGTAGAATGGGTTCAACGGACTGATCAGAAAGGGTCATTTCATCTTTGGAACACTTGACTGTCCTTGAAGGTCGATTGACCCTTGTAGCCATCTGACCCTCAACTGAGAAGAGAAAAAAGTTTCTTGAATTATGGTTTTTAAAGTCATGACCCTTCAGGACCCTTCAGGACGTTTGGAGTTAGGGGTCAAATGGTTTCAAGGATCAAATAATCCTTGAGAAATTTTAGGGTTGAGGGTCAAATGGTTTTAGGGGTCCAACGGGTTGGGAATAGAGTGATCAGCAACGACCCGAACCACATTAAGGGCCATTTTACCCTCAACATCATTTAACCCTCAGGCCCGAACCTCCCTAATGGTCATTGGACCCTCAGAACCATCTGACCCTCAACTAAAAACGAAAAGAAAAAAAAATGTCTTGACATTTTGGTTTAGCCGAGAGTCAAATTACCCTTAACTAGGGTTACGGGCTTTTCGGTCCTCACAACAATTTGACCCTCAGCCCCGCACCTCATTACGGGTCGTTTGAGGCTCAAGACCATTCAACCCTCAGCTCCAAATCTCACTAATGGTCATTAGACCCTCAGAACCATCTGACCCTCAACTAAAAAGAAAAGAAAAATTGTCTTGAGATTTTGGTTTAGTTGAGGGTCAAATTACCCAATAAGGGTTAAGGGTTTTTTGGCCCTCACAACCATTTGACCCTCATCCCCGCACCTCATTAAGGGCCATTTGACCCTCAAGACCATAACCCTCAGCCCCGAATCTCACTAATGGTCATTGGACCTTCAACTACAAAGAAAAGTAAAATTGTCTTGAGATTTTGGTTTAGTTGAGGGTCAAATTACCCTTAATGAGGGTTAAGGGTTTTTTGGCCCTCACAACCATTTGACCCTCATCCCCGCACCTCATTAAGTGGAATTTGACCCTCAAGATTATTTAAACTTGAACCCCGCATCTCACTAAGGGTCATTTGACCCTCAGAACCATTTAACCCTCAACTAAAAACAGAAAGAAAAAATCGTCTCGACATTTTGGTTTATTTGAAGGTCACATTACTCTTAACCCTCCACATCTTCAAGGGTTTTTTGACCCTCAGCTCCGGACCTCATTAATGGCCGTTTGACCCTCAAGACCATTTAACCCTCAGCTCCGAACCTCACTAAGGGTCATTTGACCCTCAGGACCATCTGACCTTCACCTAGAAAAAAATTGCATTAAAAATAAATTGTTGTCGCTCCTCTTCTTCCAGAAGTTGCCAAAAAAATGCAGAAAATGGACTACATGGAGGTGACTCTCCCCAACTACTCGTACGTATTCAACTTCGAGGAGAAATTCATCCACCAAGACACACGTGTATGGATGACAAACAACTGGACAAATGCATTCTACTACGCCGGCATATACATGGTCCTCATATTCGGCGGTCAATACTGGATGGCCAGCAGACCCAGATACGAATTGCGGGGTCTTCTGACCCTCTGGAACAGTCTTCTCGCTACTTTTTCGATAATAGGATTCGCGAGAACAGCGCCTGAGCTCATTCATGTACTGAGAAATCACGGATTGTATCACAGTGTCTGCATACCGAGGTGAGAATTGACGTTTGAAATTTCACCATGAATTTTCCCAACTGCGCCTTCTTCTTTCGCTCATGCATACCCGAGTGCCGATAATTTGCCAACATCACGCCACTTGCGTCACTCGCATTATTCACAAAAATTGTGGCGCGNGGCCATTTGACCCTCAAGACCATAACCCTCAGCCCCGAATCTCACTAATGGTCATTGGACCTTCAACTACAAAGAAAAGTAAAATTGTCTTGAGATTTTGGTTTAGTTGAGGGTCAAATTACCCTTAATGAGGGTTAAGGGTTTTTTGGCCCTCACAACCATTTGACCCTCATCCCCGCACCTCATTAAGTGGAATTTGACCCTCAAGATTATTTAAACTTGAACCCCGCATCTCACTAAGGGTCATTTGACCCTCAGAACCATTTAACCCTCAACTAAAAACAGAAAGAAAAAATCGTCTCGACATTTTGGTTTATTTGAAGGTCACATTACTCTTAACCCTCCACATCTTCAAGGGTTTTTTGACCCTCAGCTCCGGACCTCATTAATGGCCGTTTGACCCTCAAGACCATTTAACCCTCAGCTCCGAACCTCACTAAGGGTCATTTGACCCTCAGGACCATCTGACCTTCACCTAGAAAAAAATTGCATTAAAAATAAATTGTTGTCGCTCCTCTTCTTCCAGAAGTTGCCAAAAAAATGCAGAAAATGGACTACATGGAGGTGACTCTCCCCAACTACTCGTACGTATTCAACTTCGAGGAGAAATTCATCCACCAAGACACACGTGTATGGATGACAAACAACTGGACAAATGCATTCTACTACGCCGGCATATACATGGTCCTCATATTCGGCGGTCAATACTGGATGGCCAGCAGACCCAGATACGAATTGCGGGGTCTTCTGACCCTCTGGAACAGTCTTCTCGCTACTTTTTCGATAATAGGATTCGCGAGAACAGCGCCTGAGCTCATTCATGTACTGAGAAATCACGGATTGTATCACAGTGTCTGCATACCGAGGTGAGAATTGACGTTTGAAATTTCACCATGAATTTTCCCAACTGCGCCTTCTTCTTTCGCTCATGCATACCCGAGTGCCGATAATTTGCCAACATCACGCCACTTGCGTCACTCGCATTATTCACAAAAATTGTGGCGCAGATTTCCGCGAGCCGATACTCGATGGGGATTGGCCACTGGCGGATTCAAAGGTCAGGTTCATGGGTTTTGAGGGTTTGAGGATGGCGGGGGAGACTTTGGCCTGTTTTTTTGAGTGGAAGTTTTGTAATCGTTCAAATTTACAATTTGGGTTTTTTGCGTTTAGGTGTTTGCTGATGAGTCGATGGGACTTAATCTTTTTTATGGAGGTAGTTTTGAGGCCTCTCGTCGATATTAATTAAAATTTAATTCGTATATTAATTTTTAGAATTTTAGATTTTTGCAAAAAAAAAAAAATTCGTATTTTTCGAAAATGAGGATTTCGGAGATGCCCCTTTGACCGAGTTCGAAGCTGAAGGCGATGGTAATAATCGTTGTTTTGATTTGTAGAATAATTATCAACAATTTTGTATTTTTTGAAAATGAGGATTCCGGAGATACCTTTGGGTATCGTGCGTCAAATTAATTCAATCATAGCTTAAAATATTTGTTTGAATGTCACCCTGTCGGAGTTAGGAGATCATTACGACAGCCATATCTGTTGGTTTGATTTTTATGATGATGTTTGCAAATTCATTCAATTATGCACGAAATAAATTTTTCCAATACCATTTTATCAAAGTTTCAAGATAATATAGAGAGCATCATTGCTTTCATTTGATTTATACAAGAATTTTCAGACGAAATCGTACACAATTGATTGAAGAAGAAATATAAATCAATCATCAACAAATTATTACTGTATACTATGTACTTATGAAAACACTTGGCTGAACGCCCCCGGGCGATGGCCTATTGTAAGAAAAAAATTTTTTTTTGTTGTTTGTAATTTTCTTGCAATAAATTCCGTTAAAAATTAAAAAAATTGAAAAATTATAAATCAATTGAACAAAATAATATGAAACGATAAATGATGTACGATAGAAGGGAATGAAAAGTCAACCGCTGAGCCTCACCCTCTTGGAAATTGATGGCGATTTTTCCTACGATTGAGGGGGTTGAAAAACTATCTCTCAAATTTATTCGGATTTTTTCGGCGGCCCAATTCGGAGATATGATTTTTTTCGTTTTTCCGTTTTTTTTCTCCAATAACTCGAGTGCTATTTGTCCGATTTTTATTTATTAAGCGCCAAAATTTTTTATTTTTTGCCGCCTATACGAGTATCTTCAGTAATTTTTTTTTTCGATTTCTAGATGCTCATAATAACGAATTTTCGAGAAAAAAAGTGGAAAAACTTGAATTTTGCAACTTATGTGACAGATAATTTTCAAAATTTTTTTTTCAGTAATTCTTATAATCAAAACAAGTGTTTGAGCTGTCATTCAAGTTGGGCCTCCTCTTGGATCTATTTTATTTTTAATTTTTTCTTTTCGAAATTTCGCGAATTTTATCAAAACACCCCCAAACGACTTCGATTATGTATCGAAAAAATATGTACTATATAGCTATACAAATTCACTTCATATTGTCTATAATCAAAGTTTTCACCAAATTTGCGGAATTTCGAAAAGAAAAAATTGAAAATAAAATACAACCAGAGGGATTCCCAGCTTGTATGACAACTCAAAATACTTGTTTTGATTATAAAAAATACTGAAAAAAAATTTTGAAAATCATCTGTCACGTAATTTGCAAAATTCAAGTTTTTCAATTTTTTTTTCGAACATTAGTTATTATGAGCATCTAGAGGTTGAAAACAAAATTCACTAAAAATGATCGTATAGGGAGTAAAAAATGAAAAATTTTGATAGTTTTTCAATCCTCTCAATCGTAGGAAAAATCGGCATCAATTAATCAATGAATGATCTGATGTTTTTATATGTAGGGCTGTTTATTATTATTATTATTATTATTATTATTATTTACCAATAATAATAATAATAATAATAATAATAATAATAATAATAAAATATGTCGATGCATTATGTCGATGGAGTTATATCGTTGCGACGAATCCTGACATCATCCTCTTCGATTTTGATGACAAAATCATCTGTGTCATTGACTACTCAGCTTCGGCTGAGAGTAACATCACAGTGAAAGAAAAGGAGAAACTGCTCAAATACCAATCACTCCACTTTGAGCTACGTCAAATAAACAGAGGATTTAAAGTGAAGTTGGTTGTCCTTATCATTGGCTCTCTTGGGGGAATGAAGGAGTCATTCATATCTGCGCTCAAAACCATCTCGGCCTGTAGGCGTCAAGCCTTCAGTTTGACTGGCCAGATTCAGAAGGCAGTCATCCTCGGGTCCCTCCGTCTACTTAGGCAGCATGATTCTGGATTGCAATAGAGCTCACCCTCTGGTTAGAGGGAGCACTATTGCAGAGCGATTAGGAAGTGTTTGCATTGCTTCGCTTGCTGGGCGGTCTTCGAGGTGAAGTCGGAACCCTCGAGGATCTTTCAGCGATCTCATTTACGAGTAAAATAATAATAATAATAATAATAATAGTAATAATAATTAAATGTAATAATTATAAAACTGAAAAATCAATTATTTGAAATAATAATAATTCTTTTCAGTAAAATATAATGTTTTTTTAAATTGCACTATCCCGTTCTACCCGCCCTATCCCATTTTGCCCCACCCTCCCCTATTTGATTATAAACTTTGAATTATTATGAAAAATAGAACTTTTAAAAATCGTAATAAAAAAATAGTCTTATCTTTTCTTTCGTTCGAATCAAAGTCCAAAATCTGAGAATGAGTGAACACTATTTTCATTTTTTTCATGATTTCATTGAACTAGTAATTGGTATTTATTATGTAAGGATGTATTGCATATTACTTATTACACCACTATCGTGCAGACAAATACGTTTCGATCACGCGATGTGGAATACCACGAGATACTATTAAATCAGCAGAGAAATTGTGGATGCTAATGATTCATCTCGATTTTTTTCTTAACGGTCAATGTATCTCGAGAATCGTTCGTTCTGCGAGAAATTATCATAAGTACTTTTTTGTAGGGAATGCAATTGTCAAGGAATAATTTATTGTCACTTTTTGCTCTAAAACCTCTCCTTATCGAGATAATCGAATGTTTAACAACAGCTAAACGTTGATTCGCCATCACTTCGTCAATTCTCAACATTTCTTCATTTATCTCGAATTCGAGTCGTTTTACAAGAAAATGTTACAAAACCTTTTTTGTCGAGAATTGAATTTCGAAAAAAAAGTTCCTATCACTTTTTTCTCTAAAATAACTAGTTTTTAAGATAATTGAACTTTTAACGATAAAACCGTGAGAAATAATTTTTTCATCAATTACCAATTCTCAATTTTTGTTAATTATCTTGAAAACGGTCAATTTTATAAGAACATGTCATGAGAATTTTTCGCAGAGAATTAAATTCCCAACAAAAGAATTATTATGACTTTTTGCCCTAGGACCCCTCGTTATCGACATAATTCCCCTTTTAACTTCTTTAAAATTAATTTGAAATGAAAAAAATTTCCAGTTTCATACTCATGGACCGAGTCTCGGGCTTCTGGACCTGGATGTTCGTCCTTTCGAAGCTGCCGGAGCTAGGTGACACAATGTTCATAGTCCTGAGGAAGCAGCCCCTGATCTTCCTCCACTGGTACCACCACATAACGGTTTTACTGTACTCGTGGTTCTCGTACACTGAATACACATCAACAGCCCGATGGTTCGTGGTGATGAACTACTTCGTGCACTCGATAATGTACACTTACTACGCCTTGAAGGCCATGAGATACTCACCACCAAAGTCAATATCAATGGTAATAACAGCCCTTCAACTCATCCAGATGATTGTCGGTTGTGCTATTAACGTGTGGGCATATCCGTATCTCACACCAGGACAGAGTCACTGCTCCATCTCGAGGTTTAACGTGCATTTCAGTTTAATAATGTACTTCAGCTATTTCGTGCTGTTCGCTAGATTCTTCCACAAGGCGTACATCGGGGGAAAGAAGGGAAAGAAAATTTATAAACACGAGGACAACGGACAAATCAACGAGGAGTTTAGCAATGGAAAGCTCAAGAGCAATTGAATCCTCTTATCATTTTTATTTCTGAGTCTGTCGAGGGATGGGTCGGGTGTCAGAAAATTGATATTTCATTCAGTGAACGAATTTTCAATGCAAATGGACCAAAGACGGTTGTCATCCAGGAAAATCGGTTTAATTATCGGCACATGGACAGTTTTTTTGTTTCATTGATTGCAGCACAAATTTTTTAATTATTTCGAGATTTATCGAGGGAAGGGGGGCTAGATTAGACGATTTAGATTAGGATGCTGGGGGGGAGGCTCAATACCGTAATATTTTCTAAGAGTTGGGTTTTATTGCGAGTGCCCCGATGTGAGGATCCGGTGGGGCCAGTTCTCTCGGACGCGTGACCCACATTCCATGTGACGGAGACTGGAGAGATCTCATGAGATGAGTTTCTAGGGGGATTTGTGGGTTTTATTTTTGCTGCATTTTCGAGAGGTTTGGCGAATGCTAGGTGGGGTTGGGGGGGGCTATGTCGTGGGTGATTATCCAGATGGAGCAGAGACTCTGGGGAGTTTCGAGTGAGAGGAAAGGGAAACGAAAATGTTTTTTTTTTCAGTTTTTCTTGTAAATAGTTAATTATCGAGGGAATGAGGGGGTTTAGGGGGAAATATCACAGGAGATTTTTTGTGGGGAATTCAATTTTCTATAAAAAAGGTCTAAAGGTATTTTGTGATAGAGGCAATAGTTTCTGAGATAATTGAGAAAGAATGGAGATGTCAAATGAAAAACACAAAAATTGTTCTTTTTCAAATTCTTTTTTGTAAGAATTCAATTATAAAGGTAATGAGTAGGTTTAGCGGAAAATGTCATAAGAGATTTTTTTTTGAGAATTCAATTCTGCACAAAAAGTTCCCGAGATGTTTTTTCCTGGGGTCAATAGGTTCTGAGCTAATTGGGAAGGAATGAAGAAGCAAACTCTCGAAACGAAAGAAATAATTTTTTCTTTTTCATCTTGTCTTGTTAAACATGACATAATCAAGGGTTCATGAGGATTTAGGGGAATATCTCAGACATTTTCTTCCAACATTCAATTCTCCACAAAAAAAATATTACAATTTTTCTCGTCAATTCACTAGTTCCCGGATGAAAAAAAAAAACAAATCAGCAAAATCTGGAAATTTACTTCACTCAAAAACAAGAAAAATAATTTCTCTTCAGTCTCAATTATCTCAAGATCAGCAGAGTGAAATTCCCCAATTTTTTTCTCATTCCAAAGATCTATTCTCCACCTTTAAAACGAGCCCTGACAAATAAAAATCGTATCGTTTAATAACGAGATATTGAAGAAACCGTCACAACGATTTCCCACGAAATAAAAATGTTTCCTATTCTTTCCGACAATTTATTCAATCTTCGCAGTTCACACGTGCAAATTAAAAAAAAACCGCGTCAGCGTAATTATGTAAATTACCGACAGCATGAATGGCGAGGATTAATTATTTTTATTGCTATTGATTTTGAAAATTTAAAATTCGAATTCACTGAAGTTGAATTTTGTCGAGTGCAAGGTCCACGGTCACCACCTTCTCATTCGCCAAATGTCTTTGGTTGATGCAAGCGAGACTATTAGATAATCAAACGTCAAATGTAAATTTTCATTTACCCAGACATGTGAAAAATCTGTTTTTCTCGTGTTCACGATGGCTTCGAGTGAATTTAATGGAGAATTTAACGAGGTCGAGTTGACAATGGGTGACGCACATGTTCACAGTACAATCGGGTAAATGCCTCCCGCCCTGGTACCCCTGAAATCTATTATTTATAACGCCAATTAATTATTTAACGGAAGGATTTAAAATTAGGGGGAGAAGGCCGGGGCAAAATTGAACGGTTGTTTGAGGGTCAAGGAGTCTTGAGCTTAACTGGAACAAATGATATTCAGTATCAAATATCTTGAGATTGGCGAAGTGGAGTCAAGGGAGACTGGTATCATTTTCAAGGTCCTTTCTTGCCCTTTAAAATGAGAAAAAAGTCGTCCAAATCGGTCCATTGGTTCAGGAGATATTCACGATTTTCGAGGGTTAGAGTTTTGAGGGTCAAACGGGAGAGACGAATGAAGTGATGAAAGGGTCAAATTTCTTTAGGGTTAAATGGGAGAGACGGGTGAAGAAGTCTAGGGGGTCAAATGGAAGATCATTTCTTAGCCTTTAAAATGAAAGAAAAATCATCCAAATCGATGCATTGGTTCAGGAGATATTCGAGATTTTCGAGGGTTTGAGGGTCAAATAGGAGAGACGAACGAGGTCATCAGAGGGTCAAATTTTTTGAGGGTTAAATTGGAGAGACAGCTGGAGCGGTGAAGAGGGCCAAATGGGAGAGACGATTGGAATGATCACTCGTCCCTCCCATTTGACCTTTAAAAATATTTGACCCTTCATTCGTCTCTCCCTTTTGATCCTTCATCCTTTTTTCAAGTAATAGAGTGAATTTTACTCTCATTGCGTTGTTCAAGGGTCAAACGGAAGACCCTTGATTAATCTGCTCGTCTCTCCCATTTGACCCTCAACATCTCTCCCAGTTGACCCTTCATCATTTTTTTGAGTAATAGAGATGGCAAAAAGGTGGTCTGAATTTATCTCTAAAATCGTCTTTCGCTACCGTTCCATTTTGTCCCTCGCTCCCCCATTAGTGAGACTTTTCACCAATTGTGTGGATTGTACAGGTCATGAGAAATGCGATTGTCATTTAATATTTAAATGACTGTGTGGTGCTGCTCCAACAATTGCGCAACTACGATGATACTGATGTGAGGCACAAGTGTTTTATCGAACGGACATTTTTATATTTTTTTTTTGGTTGATTTTTTTAATTGTTTTATGAATTAATTCGGAGGAGAATTTTGAATTGATAGAGAACATGGAAGTTTTTTGGGGAATATCTTCAAATCTATGAGAGATAGCGGAAAAATCCAGAGGAACAAAATGTAGCCCTTGAAATTCTCTCCAAAAAAGTTATGACAAAAATTTTTCTGTCTCTCTTACATGAAGAGATATTTAAAAAAAAATTATTCCCCTCTAAAATCAGTCCATCTTATTTTCTGACTCTACTATTGCCTCGTCCTCCCCCCGAAAAAATAAAAAAAAAATGATTGAATGAAATTTGTATAGTAATAAATGGAGGAGCGATGGATTTGGATGAGATGATTCTCAAAATTCACGAGTTTATTTAAACAAATTCCCCAAAGTTATTTTTTATTTTTTCACCTCCTGAAATGAGGAATTCGGTTTTGTTCAGTCACTAGTGTAAAAACGTTGAATGATCCTAGAAAAACCAGTTTACTGTAATCACATGCTTTCTGAATAGATAAGTTTTCAATGATAAGTGTGTGTGTGTGGGTGTAAACGTGTGTATTATATAAATAATAATCACTTTTTACATAAATCGGCATGATGAGGGACTGAAGATGAATGGGGGAGGATGGGACAAAGTGAAACCGTATCGAATTTCGATGTTTAAGGGTCAAACGGGAGAGATAGGCGGTGGGAACAAGAGGGTCAAATGGGAGAGACGAGCGACGTGATCACTCCGCTCGTCGCTCCCATTAGATCTTGGAGGTTTGACCCTTCGGATTACTCTCTTGGTCTCGTTTAACCCTTAAGAATGTTTGACCCTCCACACATCTCCCATTTGACCCTTTGGATTATTCTGCTCGCCTCTCCCATTTAACCCTTGGGAAAATACTTAATCCTCCGTCTGTCTCTCCCATTTGACCCTTCATAATTTTTTTTAGTAATAGAGATAGAAAAAAAGTTATGCGAATTTTCCTCCAATTTCGTTATTCGAGGGTCAAATGGGAGAGACGAACGAGGTGATCAAAAGAATCAAACCTTCCTAAGGGTCAAATGGGAGAGACAGGGAAGGGGTCAAGAGGGTCAAGCAGGGAAGACGAAAGAAGTGATCCCTCCCCTCGCCTCTCCCATTAGACCCTTAAGAACATTTGACCCTTGATCATTTTTTGAGTAATAGATTTTGTTATTCAAGGGCCAAACAGTCGTGAAGGTCAAACGGGAGAGACGGACGAAGTGATAAGAATCAAACCTTCCTAAGGGTCAAATGGGAGAGACAGGGAAGGGATTACGAGGGTCAAGCAGGGAAGAAGAAAGAAGTAATCCCTCTCCTCATCTCTCCCACTTGACCCTTAAGACCATTTGACCCTTGATCATTTTTTTGAGTAACGAAAAAAAAAATCATGTAAATTTTTTTCTCAAGGATCAAAGAGGGTCACTCCATCCCATTCTTCCTCACAATGAAATGATTAAATGAGGGTTTATTTTTTCGCGAAAAAGAGAAAATTATAAGATATTGTCATAAATGGGACAGTACGTGACACTTGCTCCTCAGAAATTCTTTCTGGGTCATTGCCAATTTCACGCGAGGCAACGAAAGCCTGGGAGTGCCGGAGACTACTCTTGAAAGAAGATTTCAACCGTCGAGATTTTGCTTTTTAGATCTTGGGACACGACCAGTACCCGAAATTAAAAAAAAAAACGAAAAATCGGTTTGGGAATGTGTTAGGGCGTACGCGGAGCGCGCAGGACGTGCTTTAAAATCGATAAGTACACTCTCAAATCGCGTATATCCCTTCAACTTGGCCAATCTACTTTCTCTAATCATCTGGTTTCTAGATTTTTAATTAGGTGGAGGTCATTTGATTTCATAGATTCATGAAAAAATTGCTCGAGTTGTATCAGAAATTTTGTTTTTTGGGTTTTATTGGCGTGCGATTATCTCGGTGGGATGCGGGTTTAGAAGGAAATGTCATAAGACATTTTTATTGGAAATTTTGTGGGCTGCGTAAAATGTCTTATGACATTTTCTTCTAAACCCATTAGATTCCAAGATATTTACCAAAAATGATGGTGCAAAATTGAAAAGTTTAACATGTATATTTCGTTTTTCGTCTTGTTAAGGATAAGATTATCTCGAGAACAAGTCGTTTTAGAAAAAAACTTCGAATAACTTTTTTCTTGGAAATTTCATAAGCCATAAAAAATGTCCCGTGGCATTTCCTCCTAAAACCACTGGTTTTCGAGATATTCAATAAAAATGATAGAACAAAATTGACAAGTGTAACATGTCTATTTTGTTTTTGTCTTGTTAATTATTTATTTTTATGAATGAACAGTAGCAAAAAAGACGTCGATATTTTCTCACGAAGAGTTATCTAACATTAGAGAATCTAATGTTCTTCCAAAAGATCATTCTCCCCAAACCAACTCCAAACTTCACGATACGATCCCGCAATTTCATTTTAAAAAAATTATAAAAACCATTTCAAATATTTTTTAATCACTTAAGTACTCCAAGCGCATCTGGAATGTGTCAAATTTTTGTAATACATTATAATTATGTAAAAAGAGACATGAGAAAGAAGCTTTAATATACCATGTGAAGGACACTAACTGTTTTATACTTAATCCCCCGTTTTCTTCCCTTTCCTCGGCGTATTTTTAGTTCTATTTTCCACTTTTTTCGTTTTGGGGGGATTATTTTTAGAGGAACTGGTTTTAGAGAAAAAGTGAATCAGCATTTTTGTTGGAAATTTCATAAGCTACAAAAAATGTCGAGTAAAATTCTCCTCTAAAACCATTACATTTCGAGATATTCAACAAAAACGATGAAACAAAATTGGAAAGTGTAACAAGTTTGTTTCGTTTTTTGTTTTGTTATGGATTAAATTATCTCGAGAATAACGGGTTTTAGAAAAAAATGTCGTATAACTTTTTTGTTGGAAATTTTATAAGCTACAAAAAATGTCCTATAACATTTTCTCCTGAAACCATTCATTTTCAAGATATTCAACGAGAAAGAGGAAGAAGTCCACTTTCCACTTTTTTTTCGTATTGTTAAGGAAGGGATTATCTTTAGAGCAAGTAGTCTTAGAAAAAAATGTGAAAAGGGACATGAGAAAGAGGACTTGAAACCACGTGAAGAACACCAGCTATTTTATATTTAATCCCCTCCTTTCAATCTCTTCCTCAATGTATTTTTAGTTCAACGATGGTCAACAGTTGCTCGAAGTCACGGGAATAGAATCGATTGTTCCATCGAAACCTGTCTGTCTCGGCGTGACATGTGATCAAGGGATTCAGATCGTGTGGGGTAATGAGGCAATGATATAACTCATTGTTTGTTCCGTCATTTTTTACAATCAGCTTCATTATTCCACATGTTGCAGTTTGATTGATTCAGGAATTTTCCATTTTTTATCTCGTTATCTCTGATTTATTCTTCTCATGATTTATTACCACTGGTTTCCTGGTTCAACAATTATTATGATATAGATGTAAGTTATTGTGATACTGATATACCGGAAGTGCAAGGGAGTTTTGGCAGGAAATATTTATAAAAATCCGATTGTATTGATGTTATGAAATTTATCTAGTTTTTTTTTTGGTACCAGTTTTTCAGGAATATCTTTTTTTTTGTTACATTTAATTGCTCGAAACTTTACAAGTTTATACGGCTGAATATTACAGAAAGAAGGAAAGAAATAATAATTTTATATAAATTTATATATTATAACGTAATCGAATGTTTGATTTATCGATCCTCTTCCCTCTTCTTTATGAATGTTTGAGTTTCTCGGGTTTGTGTTTGTATTTACCTGTGTTTATGGTGTATTTATGCCGTTTAATCTGGGCCGAATTGGACGTATTACTCATTGGACGAAATGATTTTTAGACCTAGTGATTTTTGGATGAAGTGATTTTGGACGAATTGTTTTTGGACAAAATGACCCCTATCCGAAATAAATATGAAATCTTAGTATAGAACGTTTCCTAGGAAATTCATGTGAATTTATGGAACAGAATCAGTGTAAAATGGTCGTATCTCCACTAATCTTCCAGATATTCATTAAAAAAGTGTTGAAAACAAAAGTGGTAATATTATTTTTTTTTCCGTGGAATTTTGGACCTCTATATGAGGTATTCCATGCCAAATGAGTCAACGGCTGATCCTCACCCTCTTGAAAATTGATGGCGATTTTTTCTATGATTGGGGGGCTTGAAAAACTATCTCTCAAATTTTTTTTTCAAATTGTTCGTTTTTTTTTTTACAATAACTCGAGTTCTACTCATCCGATTTCGATTTATTAGGGATAAAAATTTTCCATTTTTCACCACCTATAAGAATGTTTTTTGTCCAAATTTTTTCCAATCTCTAGACGCTCGAAATAACGAATTTTCGAAAAGGTACTCGAGCATAGGAATTAGAACACGAGCAAATCATTGTAATATAAAAATTCAACAGCTGATAAATTGGGACATATGATTCTCATCGGTCGTATTGCTTTTTTCAATGAGAATGATTATAAACAATCAACTGAAAAAAGGAATATCGAATCTGCCAGGAAAAAGGGCCTAATGCAAGGCCATCGAGTTTCCATAAAAAACAATCAACATCTTTATTCAAACGTCTTTACAAATCATCGAATCCTCGCAAGTTCGAAAATGAAAATAATAAACGATTAATACTTGAGTATATACAGACAATTATCAATCATGCAGAACAACAATGACAATCATTTGCTGTTATCCTTGGACTTGTCCTTGCCCCACTCGTCCGAGATGTACGTCAGGAGATCGTTGAGGCCCTCGAATTCAGTTCTGCTCTGGGGTGGATTGTTCTTGGGTATCCTGGGGAGGATCGATCCCATTTTCTCCCGGAACTCTCGGGCATTAGTCGCCCCAGATAATTTCCAGATTCCGTAGAATATCAAACTGCAACCGGTGACTGCGTAAACCGTTCCCCACCCCAGAGCCCTCATCGCGAGGGAGACCCCAGCCTCCGTGGAACCCTTGACCCCGACCACTCCCTCTTCAAAGTATTTGGGGTCTTTCTTTCGAACAGCTGCGACTGTCGTGCCAAATCCGATGATTGCGGAGATGCCAGTGACTGCTCCGAGGAACAAAACTCCTGGGGGACACCGCAATATCGGAATTTCAGGTCGGCTAAGTCGACTAAGGGTCACTCGGCCCTTACGATCATTTGACCCTTAGACCCGAATGTTATTGAGGGACGGTTTTCCTTCAAGACCATTTGACCCTCAACTAAAACAAGAGAAAACGTCAGGAGACACTTTTTTGGGAAGTTATTTCTTTAAGAAAGAGGTCGTGATATTCTGCTTTAATTGAGGGTCAAACGGCCCTAAGGGACGTTTGGAGGTGAAGGTTGAATGGTCTTGAGGGCTGAACAATACTTGAAAACGTGTAGGGTTGAAGGTCAAACGATGTCAAGAGTCGAACGGGTTTGAGCAGACAAGGTCATTTGACCCTCACGTCTTTAAGGGCCATTTGACTGTCAAGACAATTTGACCCTCAGCCCCTAATGTTACTGAGGGACGGTTTTCCTTCGAGACCCTCAACTAAAACAAGAGAAAACGTCGGGAGTCACTTTTTTGGGAATTTATTTCTTTAAGAAAGAGGTCGTGATATTCTGCTTTAATTGAGGGTCAAACGGCCCTAAGGGACGTTTGGAGGTGAAGGTTGAATGGTCTTGAGGGCTGAACAATACTTGAAAACGTGTAGGGTTGAAGGTCAAACGATGTCAAGAGTCGAACGGGTTTGAGCAGACAAGGTCATTTGACCCTCACGTCTTTAAGGGCCATTTGACTGTCAAGACAATTTGACCCTCAGCCCCTAATGTTACTGAGGGACGGTTTTCCTTCGAGACCCTCAACTAAAACAAGAGAAAACGTCAGGAGTCACTTTTTTGGGAATTTATTTCTTTAAGAAAGAGGTCGTGATATTCTGCTTTAATTGAGGGTCAAACGGCCCTAAGGGACGTTTGGAGGTGAAGGTTGAATGGTCTGGAGGGCTGAACAATACTTCAAAACGTGTAGGGTTGAAGGTCAAACGATGTCAAGAGTCGAAGGGGTTTGAGCAGAGTAATCAGACAAGGTCATTTGACCCTCACGTCTGTAAGGGCCATTTGACCCTCAGCCCCTAATGTTCTTGAGGGACGTTTGTCCCTCGAGACAATTTGACACTGAACTAAAAACATGAGGAAACATCAGGAGACATTTTTTGGGAATTTATTTCTTTAAGAAGAAAGATGTCTTGACCTTTTGCTTAGCTTGCGGGTCAAATGGCTTTGAGGGCCAAATAACCCTTGAGAACGTTTGAAGGTGAGGGTCAAATGACTCTTGAGGATGTTTGAAGGTGAGGGTCAAATGCTTTTGCAAATCAAACGGGTTAATGAAAAAAAAGGAGAAAGGATCATCTAACCCTTCCCACGCACCTTCAAGGGCCGTTTCACCCTCAACTCCCAACGTTCTTTAAGGGTCGCTTGAAAATCTCCAATATCTTTTGAACAAACGATACGATTTGGCTGAGTCATAGCTCATTTTCAAGCTCCAAAAAATACCTTCAAATCAAAATAAAATTTTCCAAATTTCACTCTGCCGATAATAAACTATTGCAAACTGAGTACAGCCCAGTTTTCTACTCTCCCCTCAATCCACCCAGCTTATTATCAACCCATTATCTCAGTAACGAGTGATTCCAGCAAAAAAGTCATGAAACATTTTTTGTAGAGAATTTAATTTTCTTCAAAAAACGTCCTTACAAAGATCTCTCTATCGCCCTTCAATCTCAAGATATCCACGAAAAACCAAACGAAGATCGTAAATCCCCCTTAATTTCCCCTAAATAAATCTTCACATCTTCCCAATTCCCACAAAAATTAGTTTAAAAAACAGAAAAAAAATCATGAACAATTCTATCCGTAAATTCTCCAAAAATCCCCAAAATTTAGGGAAATCATTCAATTATTCCTTCGTGACTTCTCGAAAAAGTGAGGTTATCCACGAAAAAATACTCCAGATCTGTCAGTACACATTCCCATCAATTCCCATAAATTAAACTCACCATAAAACTTATTGTCCTTGTCATCACTAGTGTGTTTGACGAGTGATAGGTCCCCCGGGCCATCATTCACTCGAGAAATGGCATCATTTCGAGGAACAACATTATCCCCCGACATGACTTCAATCTGTGAATTGTACCAACTGCTCAAGACGATTGGAAAACGGGTGGTATGACTGGATCAACACTTGATGTTTCGTCATGAGCGAGTTCACGAGACAGATATTTGGTGTTTGGGTTTAATCACCTGTCGCTGACAGATGAAGACAGACATCTAGGGGAACAACAATCAGACATGGAAGGTAGATTCATTTTCGTGTTTTTATTTCTGATTTTGGAATTGGATGATGAGATTTTTTGATGACAGAGGGCCAGCAGAACATCGAGGGGCTCATTCAGGAGCTCAGGGAGGTCGTCAAGCTCAAGGACACAGCCAGCGAGCAGCAGAATGGAGACATCGTGAGGATTCTGGACTCTTTGGTTGATGCCAGCAAGAATTCCATTGATAGTGAGTTGTCGGTTTTTTGGGGGAGGCTGGGGAAATGAAGGGATTCGAATTAATTTGGGGGCATTTTGAAGGAGAGGGAAAGGGCTTTGTAATAAAAGAAAATTTGGGGGACTTCACTCAGCCAATTTTGAGATATTTAGAATTGAAGATCGGATTTTTTGATGAAATTGTTTGGGAGTGAATCTGATTTGGGGGATTAGTTTTTTGAGAATATCTCGGTATTGATGGGAGATATCGAAGTTTTTGTTATAAACTTTTTTGTAGACAATTTCAAGAGCAAAAAAATGTTTTAGATGGAATTGTTGATATCTCGTTTAGATTAGGAGATATTATTAAGAAAGTCGTTCTCATGTTGAAGCAAAGTAAAAAGAAGATTCATTGTAGCTTCTTCAAGTTTCAAGAACTTCTGGGGAAATGAAGGGATTTGGATTAACTTGGGGGCATTTTGAAGGGGAGGGAGAGGGCTTTGAAAGGAAAGAAAATTTGGGGGATTGCACTCTGCCAATTTTGAGATATTTAGAATTGAAATCTGTTTTTTAAAAAAAATTCTTTGGAAGTGTATTTAATTTGGGGAATTAGTTTTTAGAGAATATCTCGGAATTTATGAGAGATACCGAAATTTTTGTCATAAACTTTTTTGTAGCTCTTGAAATTCTCTACAAAAAGGTTTAGACACAAATTTTGATATCATTTTTAAATTACAAGATATTCAGCAAAAACTGAAATTTTTTTTATTGCAAAAACTAAAGTCTGATCAAAATTTCATTTTATTTTCCTCATTTCCACAGATGATTTCGAGTTTGAGATCGACGAAATGTTCCTGAAGCTCCTCACCCACGAGTCCAAGACCATAGTAGCCAAGAGTGCAAAAGCAATAGCAGAAATTGCGAAGACTGAGAGTGGAAGACTCAAATGCACCAATGGAGATTTAGCCAGGACTCTGATGGATTTACTGAAAGGGGATGACGTCAATGTTCTCACGCAGACATCCAGGGCTCTCGGAAACATATGCTACGAGAATGGTAAAGTATCTCCAAGACATGTCCCCCAACTCCTCAATTGAATGCAAATGAAAAGTCAATTGCAATTAAATATTAAGAGATAAAAGACTCATCTTCCATCTTCAATATCTCGAGAATGGCAGAGTCAAATTTCTAAACTTTCTCTTTATTTTCAAGATATTTTTTCCAGCTTGAAAATGAGATTTGATTCGTCGAAATCGTGTCATTGGTTCACGAGATATCGAAGATTGAAAAAGTTTCCTTCTTTGAAGTCAGGATTTCGTCTCGAATTATTCGTTAATTATCAAGAGGTTCTCATGATGATGATTTTAATTAATAAAGATAATTATTTAGAACAAGGAAAGAAGCTGGTGCAGGAGAACGACGGTCTGAGGTACATCCTATCAGTTCTCCAACGTGGAGTGAGGCTCGAGGACGAGGAGAGGGCTGGATTGCTGAGGAATGTGGCTGCTGGCTTTCTCTTGAACTACCTGGACGACCAGGAGTCCATCCACAAGAAGGTTCTGGAGGATGAGCTAGTCCCAATAGTCTGTGATGTCCTGGAGGTCGATGGCAAGACAGGGGGAGAGGCTGCGATGCACGCCCTGTTGGCGTTGGAGATATTGAACGACTCGGGGGTTCAATTCTTGGACGAGAGACTGACGAAGGTGCTGGTGGAGATACTCGCTGGGGATTCCTCTTCGGAATTGTCGCAGATGTGCCTGGAATTGCTTCACGGACAGGCGGAGAGTGGTAACGGAGAGAAACCCTCTTGCTTTAGTTGAGGGTCAAATGACCCTTAATGAGGGCCAGGGCTGAGGGTCAAATGACCCTTGAAGACGTGATAAAGTCGAGGGTGAAATGACTCTGATGACTCTGCTGTAACCTGTTTAATACTTAAGACCATTTGACCCTCAATTTTAGGAGTATTAAGGGCTGTTTGACCCTCAAGGCCATCAGCTATTTGAACCTCACGGACGAGGGTCGACCATCAACTTTTTTTTTAATTATTCAGACCATCAACTTTACAGATCCTTAAGGGTCATTTGATTGTCAACTCTAGCAAAACGTCAAGACATCTTTCATATTCTTTTTGTTTTTTTTTAGTTGAGGGTAAATAGTCTTGAGGGTCAAACGAGCCTTAATAAAGGCCAGGGCTGAGGGTCAAATGACCCTTAAAGATGTGATAGAGTTGAGGGTCATCTGTTTGACCCTTAAGACCATTTGCCCCTCAATCTAAGAGTTCTTAAGGGCTGTTTGACCCTCGAGGCCATTTGACCATCAATTTCAAACTTCCTTAAGGGTCGTTTGACCCTCAACTAAAGAAACATATCAAGACATCTGTTGAATGGTTTTGAGGGTCAAATGACCCTTAGTGACATTTAAGGCTGAGGGTCAAACAACCCTTAAAGACGTTTGGACTTATGGGTTAAATCGTCTCAAGGGTTAAATGACCCTCGAAGGGGTGTAGAGTCAAGGGTCAAATGACCCTTTCTCATTATTCTCCTTTAACCCGTTCGACCCTGAACTCCAAACGTCTTCATTGGTCGTTTGACCCTCAGCTAAAGAAAAATGTCAAGACATTTCTCAAGTGGTTCTGAAAGTCAAAACGGCCCTTAAAGACGTTTGGAGTTGAGGGTCAATCGTCTTAAGGGTCAAACGGCCCTTGATGACGTTTCGAGTTGAAGGTAAAATTATCATAAAGTTCAAACGACCCTTAAAGACATTTGGAGTTGAAGGTCAATCGTCTCAAGGGTCAAACGACCCTTTCTCACCCCTCTCTTAACCCATTCGACCCTTAAGACCATTTGACCCAGAACTAAAAACGAAAAAAAAATTCCTCCCCTGTGCCAAATTTAACCAAAAAATCTCAAAATTCCAGAAAACGCCAAGATGCTACTAGCAAAGTCAGATGTCTGTCAACTTCTCCTGAACGTTCTCGAGAAACACGTCTCGAGATGCGTCGACGAGGAGACCCGCGGGGTCTTGAAGACCGCCTGCAACTTGATCGTCCTGATAATCACCGGAGACGAGAGTATGAATTATCTCTACGATAATAGCAAGGGCGATGTCTACAAGAAGCTAGTCTCATGGCTGGAGGACAATTGCGATGAGGACCTCCAGGTGGCTGCTGTCCTGGCCATGGGCAACTTCGCCAGGACTGACGCTCACTGCGAGCTAATGGTGGCCCAGGGTGTGCACAAACGACTGATGGAGCTGCTGAAGAAGAACAGCAGCAGTGATGGGGACATCAGGTTTCAACATGCTTTGCTCTCTGCGGTTAGAAATCTAGTCATTCCGAATAATAATAAACCAGTCATGCTGAGGGATGGACTCATTGATGTTGTCTATCCCATGCTGGAGATTCCTACGTTTCCTGTGGTGTTCAAATTGCTGGGGACGTTGAGGATAGTCATCGATGGACAAGGTATTTTTTTGGTTTTATCCCTTCCTGGGATTTTTTCATGAATTTTTTATTTTGTTGATTTTGTATTTTTATTGAGAATTGATGAGTTTAGGAGATGTTGACCTTACATGTCTTCAAGGGTCGTTTGACCCTCAGAACCGTACCTTGACCTTGTGGTTTCGGTTGAGGGTCAAATGCGTGTAAATCAAACGACCCTTAAAAATGTTCAGGGTTAAGGGTTGAATGGTTTGACCCTTAAGACCCTAGCAAGATTAAAGGTTAAATGGTTGGACCGTTAAGACCATTTGACCCTTAACCCACCCGTCCTCAAGGGCCGTTTGCCTCTTAAGACGAGTTGACCCTCAACTCCAAACATCCTCAAGTGCCGTTTGACCCTTACGGCCAGTTAACCCTCAGTCCCGAACGTCATTAAGGGGCGTTTGACCCTCAGGAACATTTAACCCTCAACTAAAAACAAACAAAAAATCTAAAAAGATGTCTTGACATTTTCCTTGAGTTTCCTTTCAAATTGGTTTGAGGGTCAACAATCCTTAAGGAAGTTTGGAGTTGAAGATAAAATGGACCCTTGTAAGATGCTTGTATGAGCAAGGGTCAAGGGCAAATAATCTTAAAGGTCAAATTGCCGAGAAAGGGGCAATCAACCCTTGAAGCCGTGAAAGGTTAAAACTCAAGGGTCAAATAATTTGACATTTAAAACGATTTGACCCTTAACCTATCACGACTTTAGGGGTTCTTGACCCTTACGACAATTTGACCCTCAACTGCATATACCCTTAAGGGTTCTTAGACAGTTACGACCAAAAATGTTTTGAAGGACGTTTGGAGTTGAGGGTCAAATAACCCTTAAGAATGATTAGGGTTTACTCCAAACGCCCTCAGGGGCCATTTGACCCTCAGCCCCGACCGCTTTCAAGGGTCGATTGACCCTCAACTAAAAACAAAACTAAAAGTAATTTATAGAAAAAATTCTTAAAAACCTTAAAAATTTTACACCTCCCAAATTTCTCCCAAACAATTCCAGCAAATTCATATCTATAATTCGCAGAGGAAGCTGCCACCCTCCTAGGGAAGAAAGAAGACCTGATAAAGAAAGCCATCGAGTGGTGCAGTACTGAGGACGCACCAGGAGTCCAGGGAGAAGCGAATCGCCTCATCGCTTGGCTAGTAACTAACAGCAGAAACAAGGACGTTGTTTCGTTGATAATAAAACATGGAGCCATCGAGTACCTCTCAAAGATGGTCATCGCCCCCCACGCCCTCATGCAGAACGAAGCCCTTTTGAGTCTGACCATCATGACTGCAATGGCCCTCGATGAATGCCAATCAGAATTAATTCAATTTGGAATCGAAGACATCATCATCAAATTTTTTAATGAAAGTGCTGCCCATTTGCAGCCACCAATAGTCGAAAATGCTATTACGTTCATGAATACTATGGCAAAGTCAGGTAAAATCGTCATTAATAATTGTCATTAATTTTTTCATGAATATAGGTTAACCTGGGTTAAACTCTGGCTAAATCATGAATAAACCCTGATTAAATCCCGGCTATACACTGATTAAACCTTGATTAAACCCGGACTGAAAACGAATTCGAGTCTTGAGAGGGTCCGAATGTAGATTTATTTGACAGAACGAAACAACACGCAAATTGTGATGACATTTCAATTGATGATCGTACTATGACCTGAAAAAATAGAAGAAGAGAATTGTGAAATAAGAATTTTAAAAAAGAGACCCCATTCGGAAGCAAATTGCTAAATTATTAGCAACAACAACTGCACTCATTTATAAAAAAAATGCAATTGTCCACTTGTTTCATTCATGATTCAATGAAAGAAATTTATGGAAGAATTTTTCAACTTCATTAATTGTGAAAAAAATGAATTGTTTTTTCAATTCATTAATATTGTATTTCAGATGCACTAAAGGACCACATGAAGAATTCAAAGTTGCCTGAAGCCCTAGAAGAATTTCTAAATTCAGAAATAAACATGCCAACTCAAAAAACCAAAGTGAAACTCCTACTCGACACTCTGAGTGTCTAAAATCATTGTTTTCACCCCACAATCGCACACTAAAAATCGAAGACTACTCGCTGCCACAAAACATGTCAATCCATTCCTACGAAGTATAAAAACTGATCTCAGTGAGGTAAATTATTACAGGGAAAATCGAGGAGACTATGTATGAAGCTAAATTGTGCCAATTCCAAATGCGAAATCAAAATCCAACTATTTTTATTACGAAGAGAAAAACAATTGTGGATTTAAGTTACTGTAAGTGAAATAAATACTGTATTTTATCGTTTATATATACAGCCTATTGTGGAGTGTATTTTATTTAAGAAATAAAGAATATTTTATTGATGTATAAAAAAGGTTTTTGTTTTCATTATTTTCTTCATGAACACATTCCCTGAGGGAAGAATGTTTTGTTGTATTTCGTGTGAAAATTGTTTCAAAAATATGGTATTTAATTATTCGTATTTACATTGGGATTTGTTTTGGGAACGAATGGGTTTAGAGGGCCTTGAGACTATTTGACCCGTAACCTAAATGTCCTTAAGAGTCATTTGACGTAAGGGTCAAACGACCCTTGAGAACAATTTCGGCTTGACGATCAAATTGTCTTGGGGGTCAAATGACCCTTGAAGATGCGTTGAGGGTCAAACGACCCTTTCTAATAACTCCTTTAACCCATTGGGCCCTTGCGGCCATTTGACCCTCAACCTAAACGTTCTTAAGGGCCATTTGCCGTAAGGAGTTCGTCGTAAGGGTCAAACGACCCTTAAGACCCTTAAGGACGTTTGGAGTTGAGGATCAAATTTTCTTAAGGGCAAAATGACCCTTGAAGACATGTTGAGGATCAAACGACCCTTTTTAGTAACTCCTTCAACCCATTGGACCCTTAAAACCATTCGCCCCTCGATTTCAATGTTCTTGAAGTTGCTTGACCCTCAAACCCTTGATGACGTCCGGGGCTGCGGGTCAAATGCTCGTAAGGGTCAAACAACCCAATTGACCCTCAAAACAATATCCCCCAAAATCTCCCCCAAACTCCCAACCCAACTCCCCCCTTCATATAATAACAAACTGTTCATAAAGCAGTTCCCTAATCCTATAATAATCCTCGCTGACAACCCCCTCGAAAACGACCTTCCCAGTCTCCTCCTTCCTCACCGCGATAGTGTCATTGCAGCACCAGAGAACCCCACCACTGACCTCAGACGGAATATTATGTTTAGTAAGAATTTGCTTAAAGTCCGAGAGCTTCAGTTCATTGATAAAAATGGACTGATGCCCCGGGACCTGGTTCATCCCCAGAGGTTCTAGCGTCAGTATCTTCTCGCCACTCTCCTCACTCTCATCGGCAACAGCATCCCTGCAGATCTGTTCCCTAGCCGTGATCATGGCGTCGACCCAGGCGACCTCGTATCCACCCCTGACCTTCTGGAAATTCAGTCCAGAGACAAGAGCATCAGTCAGCCTGATCTGATAGATGTGTGTCTCTGTTGTGGCATCAAGGGTCTCCCCCCTTCCGGGAATGAAGACCCTTGCACCCACATTCTGCGCATGCTGAGCCAGAATGTCGCAGTCCTGAGGGGATCCCCTCACCAGGACAACTCGACGTGGCCTCAACTGCGCCAGAATCTTCTGCAGGGACTCTCCGTCAGACCTTCCTTCAAAGTCAATGTAAGTTATCGAGGCATTAACGCTGATGGTCTTCGTCACCTGAACAAATTGAAATTCAAGAATTTTTAGGAGGTTTTTGGTGAGGGTCAAATGACCCTTTTTGATCCATCTGATAACTGTTTGACCCTTTGGCCCTTGACCGTAAACGTTCTTAAGTGTTGTTTGCCCGTAACTTCAAATGTTCTTAAGGGGCGTTTGACCCTTTTTTGGTTTTAATTGAGGGTCAAATATTCGTAAGGGTCAAATGAGACTTGAGGACGTGTAGGGTCAAGATTAAAATGACCCTCTCCGACCTTTTCTTTAACTCGTTAGACTCTCACGACAATTTGACCCTTAACTCAAGGGCCGTTTGACCTTCCAAACCATTTTATCCTTGACTGAAACAAAATGTCAGATCTTTCTTTGTAGAGGAAGAAATGGTCATTTTTCGTTTTTAATTGAGGGTCAAACGACCCTTGAGTACGTTTACAGTTGAGGATGACGTGTAGGGTTGACCCCTTGGACCCTTTTTGGTTTTAATTGAGGGTCAAATGTTCGTAAGGGTCAAATGGCCCTTGAGGTCAAGACATCTTTCTTTCTAAAGGGAGAAATTGCCATTTTGCACTAGTTTTTTTGTTTTTAATTGAGGGCAAATAATTCTGAGGGTCAAAAGACCCTTCATGACCTTCGGGATTAAGGAGAAAATGTTCGTAAGGGTCAAGCGACCCTTGGAGATGTGCAGATTTAAGGGTCAAATGACCCTTTCTGATAACGGCTGTAACCCACTCGACCCTTAATCTTTAACGTTCTTGATGATCACCCTGCAGATTCTTGGGGCCTTTAGGGTCCTAAGGGTCTCAGAGTACACCAAGGTTACAAGGGTCAAGAGGGTCAAAATGCCCTCATTTGATTATAAGTTTTTTTTACCGTTAATGGCTGAGGAAGTGGGAGTTTTTTGGAGGGGGTTCTTGATGATTGTTTGACCCTCACCTCCAAACATCCTTAAGACTCATTTGACCCCCAACTCCATTTGACCCTCAACTAAAGCAATGTCATAAAAATATTAAAACTGTTGGTCTTTCTCACCTGAACACATTTTGTCGGAATGTCCGCTGATATCTCAGGCTGAAGTGTCGTTTCAACAGGCTTAACATCTACATTCATCTTGCTGTCCTCAGCCTCTGGTACTGTATCAGCTATCTTGTAGTCCTCAGGGTTGATTATCTCCCCGTACTCATCTATTTTTATCTTCTCCTCGTGGAAGGGAAACATCGGATACTGCTTCTTGTTCTGCTTGAAGAAACCTGGCTTTATCTCCTGCTTCACCAGGAGATCGTGCCTCCCCATCTCTATCTCGTCTTCAGACTCCGAACTGACGTCCGCTATCTCCATGTGCTCTTGCTTCATCTGCTCTTGTTTCACTTTTAGAAGCTTCTGGTGCTCCTCCAGCTCGGCACCTTCTAAACGTACTCGCTTCTTTATTTCCATGTTTATGGTTCGATTGCCGCCGTTCTCCATTAAGTCGCGGGCTAGGGTACCTGAAGAAGGGAATTAATTACGATTTGTTTTTTTTTTTTTGTAGAAACTGGACTCGAAAAAGATATGATTTCAAAGGTGTTAAAATAATAATTATCGTGAAAGTTGATTCAAGTTGTCAAAAAATTTGATTGAAGACTTGAAAGTCTCAAAATTGAGGCTCAAATGAAATTCAATTAAGTTGTGAAATTTTCATCTTATGTCCACTGAAAACTGATCAAAACTGTTCATGAAATTTCAATTTTTTTTCAAAGTGTGAGGATTGAAAGAAAATTTAAGTCTCAAGTTCAAAAGGCAAGACTTGAAAGTTTCAGCTCAAGGCACTTTAGAGCCTAAACTTAAGAATTTTCAAAATGTCAAGTTGAAACCATCAAGTTCCAATTTAGGATTTGAAAGTGGCAACTTAAGACTTCCAAGTCTTAACTTATGACTTTTTAAAGTCCAACTTGAAAATTTTTAAGCAAAGTACAACTTGAAACTTTTTAAAGTCTCACCTTAAGAATTTTCAAAGTTTCAAGTTGAAATCGTCAAAAGCCTTGACTTAGGACTTTTCAGAACGCAAATTGAGACTTTTTGAAGTCTCAACTTAGAATTTATTCAACCCTCAACTTAGGACTTGTTAAAGTTTCATGTGAAAATAATCAAAAGCCTTAATTTAGGACTTAAAAGTCTCAACTTAAGACTTTCAAATTTTAACTTAGGATTTTTCAAAGTTTTAGCTTGAGAATTTGAAGTTTTAAGTTTAGATTTTAAATTTTTAAAATTCTTTTCAAGTATCAACTTAAGGCTTTTAAAGTCTCAAAACTTTAAAAAGTCCCAACTTGAGACTGTAAAAAGTCTTAAGTTGAGATATTAAATTTTTAAAACTCTGTTAAAGTCTCAACTTGAGACTTTTTGAAGTCTCAACTTAAGACTTTGAAAAATCTATTTGAGATTTTCAAAACTCAAAAATTGGGACATACCAAATTCTTGATATAAAACGTTTGAAAATCTGAAATTAATACATTTAAGAATCACAATTTGACATTTAAGTCTCAACTTGAGACTTTACAGTCTCAATTAAAAACCTTCATATCATAAGACTCAAAATAAAGCCAGATTTTTACATGCAATGCATAATAATAAAATCCCCAAACAACATGGTTAATCCAATCCTTACCTGGTGAAGTTCTACTGGTGATGATAATACTATTCTGCGGATTGGTGCACCACTGCAAAAACAATTCCCTCGAGAAGCCGCACTCCATGTCCGGAGTACTGGCTAAAACAACTTTAGGACTGGGCACCTGATTGAGCTCGGCCATGCTATGGCACAACTGAAGATGCTTGAAATGAAAGGGATTGTTTCTGGCTCCCTCGAAGCTCTTCATCAGTTTATCACTCATCCACTCGATCTGGGACTTGGCAAACTCCACAACATTGTAACTGACATTATTGAGAAGTGCCAGGGAGTAAGCAAGGAGTCCGGACTCCTTGTTTCTCCAGAGTTGATCCAACATGTGAGCGAGCTCCAGGACTCTTCCAGCTGTGTCCACACCGACGAGAACATTTCCCCCAGCTCTGAGGGTCTGCAGAATATTCGTCATTAGTTTTTCGTCTCGAGTACGTCTTCTCGCTTGTTGATAGGACGCGTTGAAGGCGTCAGTGATCAATAGCGAGGGCCTCTGGAGCCGCTCAAGCTCGCAGCCATTCAGATGTCTCTCCTTTTTGTGGTTGAAGTCAACTGCGTAGATGATGTCCTCCTCGCCGTCCTTCACGATCTTCCAGATGGTACCTCCTATCATGTGACCCGCTGGGAGAGGTGTCAATGTCACACCGTAACCCTTCCCCTTTATCGAGACATTTTTTTTTTTAATAATACCCGAGAAAACTGCATCTTATTTCAAGATTTCAAAGTGGTTAAAATCGGATTTTCAAAAGTCTTGATTGTTTTTGTTGAGAAAAGTCTTAATTTGAAGCTGAAAGTCTCAACTTGAAAGTTTTGAGTCTTAATCTGAGGCGTTTATCGGCTCATATTGAGACTTCGAATGCCTTATATCAAGACTTTCGAAAGTCAGCTTAAAGCTGTTCTTCAAGTTGAGATCTGAAAGGCGCAATTTGAGACTTTGGAAAGGCTGAACTTTAAAGTCTTTACTTTTGACTTTTAAAAGTCTCAATTTAAGATATTTAAGACACTTTTTAAAATCCGAACTTGAACGTCTTGATTGTTTTTATTGTTCAGTAGGACTTTCAAGTCTTGATTGTTTTTATTGAGAAAAGTTTTAATTTGAAGCCGAAAGTCTCAACTTGAAAGTTTTGAAAGTCTTAATTTGAGGCGATCATCGGCTCAAATTGAGACTTTGAATGCCTTATATCAAGACTTTCGAAAGTCAGCTTAAAGCTGTTCTTCAAGTTGAGATCTGAAAGGCGCAATTTGAGACTTTGGAAAGGCTGAACTTGAGGACTTTAAAGTCTTTACTTTTGACTTTTAAAAGTCTCAATTTAAGATATTTAAGACACTTTTTAAAATCCGAACTTGAACGTCTTGATTGTTTTTATTGTTCAGTAAGACTTTCAAGTCTTGATTGTTTTTATTGAGAAAAGTCTTAATTTGAAGCCGAAAGTCTCAACTTGAAAGTTTTGAAAGTCTTAATTTGAGGCGATCATCGGCTCAAATTGAGACTTTGAATGCCTTATATCAAGACTTTCGAAAGTCAGCTTAAAGCTGTTCTTCAAGTTGAGATCTGAAAGGCGCAATTTGAGACTTTGGAAAGGCTGAACTTGAGGACTTTAAAGTCTTTACTTTTGACTTTTAAAAGTCTCAATTTAAGATATTTAAGACACTTTTTAAAATCCGAACTTGAACGTCTTGATTGTTTTTATTGTTCAGTAAGACTTTCAAGTCTTGATTGTTTTTATTGAGAAAAGTCTTAATTTGAAGCCGAAAGTCTCAACTTGAAAGTTTTGAAAGTCTTAATTTGAGGCGATCATCGGCTCAAATTGAGACTTTGAATGCCTTATGTTAAGACTTTAGAAAGTCAACTTGAAGCTGTTCTTCAAGTTGAGATCTGAAAGGCGCAATTTGAGACTTTGGAAAGGCTGAACTTGAGGACTTTAAAGTCTTTACTTTTGACTTTTAAAAGTCTCAATTTAAGATATTTAAGACACTTTTTAAAATCCGAACTTGAACGTCTTGATTGTTTTTATTGTTCAGTAAGACTTTCAAGTCTTGATTGTTTTTATTGAGAAAAGTCTTAATTTGAAGCCGAAAGTCTCAACTTGAAAGTTTTGAAAGTCTTAATTTGAGGCGATCATCGGCTCAAATTGAGACTTTGAATGCCTTATGTTAAGACTTGAAAGTCAGCTTGAAGCTGTTCTTCAAGTTGAGATCTGAAAGGCTTAATTTGAGACTTTGGAAAGGCTGAACTTGAGGACTTTAAAGTCTTTACTTTTGACTTTTAAAAGTCTCAATTTAAGATATTTAAGACACTTTTTAAAATCCGAACTTGAACGTCTTGATTGTTTTTATTGTTCAGTAAGACTTTCAAGTCTTGATTGTTTTTATTGAGACAAGTCTTAATTTGAAGCTGAAAGTCTCAACTTGAAAGTTTTGAAAGTCTTAACTTGAGGCGATTATCGATAGATTCAACGTGGGACAAAGTCCCATTTTAAGACTTTGAAGTCTCAAGTTGAAACAATCAAAAGTCTCAACTTAAGATTTTTTAGTCTCAACTGGAGACTTTTCACAGTCTGAGCTTAAAACTTTATAAAGTCCTTAACCTTAACTTTAACCATCAAGTCAAGACTTGAGACTTTTGCAAAGTCTCAAGTATTTGTTTCGAATAGCTTGCAGGTGAATGAAAGTGCCTAACAATATCGAGGTCATGGATAGCCTGATACGACAGTGGAAAAAATTCGGCGTAAAAAAATCCCTATACCTTCATCGAGACACTCTGATTGTATTTAAGCTGATCGATCTTGTCGAAGGCTGCGTCAACGTCGTCCAGAGTGAACAGGTCAAAGTCCTCCATGTTATTTCGGGACTGGAACATGTCGTACATGAACATCTGGCCCATTTTGTAGACGGGAATTGTCGCGTAGATCGGGCAGTTGAGGCCGCATTTACCTACGAGGTAGGGGAGGGCCCCCAGGTGTAGAGGGTCCGGATAGGACAGTAGGACAGCGTCAATCTGGTGAACATGACGTTTCAGCTCTTTTATGAAGTCCTGATTGAATTTCTCGTCCCAACCGCAGTCCAGGAGGATTCGGAGCTCATCCACTTGGAGGATGTAGCAGGGGGGAGACTCGTCCATCGCACCGGATATTGCGTGCAGCTTTATTATTGATGTCATCATGGTGAGGGGAGGGGGAATTGTTGCTCTGAAAATTCGGCATTGGGGGTGTTCCGGAGAGTTTATGAGGTTTTTCATTTCCGCGGATGATAATAGTGGAGTAGATAGTTGGATTTTGGATGAGTTTAAGTCGCAGTAATTTATTTCATTTTATTTTTGGGGATTTTCAGTATTTCAGCATCGGTAGAGGCTATTTTTAGTTTTTTTTTTTGCTTGCGAATGTCGACTCATGTCCCAGTTGAGTTTTTCATGAATATTTCCGAATCTAAGAGAGATAGCGAAATTTTCGTAATTACATTTGTTGTAGCTCTCAATCGGCTCTACAAAAAAGTTTTCAACAACAATTTTGCTATGTTCCTTAGATTCCGAGATATTCATTGAAAACTGGCCTACTGTAAAAAGTGACTTGTACCGCTTTACCATTTCGTTACTGAAATGTAGTCTTAAAAGTCGGAGTATAAGATTTTTAGATGGTCTATATGTATGTGGTCTGTTTTCGTAATTTTTTCCATAATTAGACGGAGAAAAAAATTTATTTTTGCCAAATATTCATTTACTTGAGAGAAACATTAATTTTTTGAAAAGCGTTTTTCTCCAATCGAGTCATTCTCAGGCGAGCCTGATTAGGTTTCAATTATGATAATCATGTTGAACATTATCTTGGATAAAATTTTCCAATGATTATTCATTTTTCCTGAATTTCTAATTTTCTACAGGGAAGAATTTCAATTAAGTATTTACAACAATTAAGTAGCATGTATAAAAATTAGTAAGTATTTACGACAATTAAGTAAACTGCTAATTTATTAGCAAAATAGCAATTGTCAACTTGTTTTCTTTCACTGTCCGGGTGTTTTCGCAGAGTGAAAAATTAATTTTCATTCAATAATTACCTGCAATACTCTAACGATAACCTCGAAAGCGAATGACGACCGGTGAACTTGTGGAATCGTTTCTATTTTTTATCCCGTCATGTTGTATTTTCCAGGACGATTCTAGGGTTTTCAATGCCTTCCGATAATGCGTAATTACCTGCGGTAATTATTATTATGATGTGATTATCGTGTGTTTTCGAGCACTTTGTTTTCAAAACAATCGAGGTGACGATTTTTCGAGCGTGAGACTAAAATGATAAAGGAGGGAACCAAAGAGGATAGACTCAAGTAGAGGCTCAGATCTCGGGGTTCAGGCGACGCCAAGACATAAATAGTATAACCCCAACGGAGGGATGGCGCCACGGACGAATCTGAAGTGTCTGGGCGACTCGGCAGTAATAGCAGTCCCGCTGACACAGGGATAGTTTCGGAGAGGAATTTATGCCCTCCTCGTCCGCAACATGTTCTTAATGTTTTTCAGGTGATTCATTCGCTGGCTAATTAATATTAAGGAATGAAACACAGACGGTGTGATGGAGAATTAAATTCCCCATCAACCGATCCCCGTTTCATTCCTTAATCTCTGTAACAAAAAAATACAAACTGCGACAAAAGTCATGGGGCAGTGAGAAATAGTATATTTCGTAACAAGTGTAAAAAAGTGTTTGATATAATCCCACGAGCTAAAAAACATTTTTTCACGAGTTACGAACAATATTTTTCATCACAATGTGGCGGAAATTGGACTTTTAGGCACGCGGAGCGTGCCGAAAAGTTCACTTTTCGTCACAGCGTGATGAAAAATAATTTTCTTCTCGGCGCCCAGTGACATTTCACGATTCGCCCGCGAATTAAAAATTTGTCTCTCTCCTCCTAATTGAAATTAAGGGATGAAAAAAAGGCTGTGGGAGGGAGAACTAAATTACCCATCAATTAACCCTCTTTCATTCCTTAATCTCGGTAAAAAATGGAAGAAACTGTGATGAAAATCACAGCGCAGTAAGAAAAATAATTGTTTTGCGGCGCACAGTGACTCCCGGTAATTAAAAATTCACCTCTCCCCTCCTAATTTAGATTAAGGGATGAAAAAAAGGCAGTTCGACGGAGAATTAAATTCCACATCAACTGACCCTCTTTCATCCCTTAATCTCTGTAACAAAAAAATAAAAACTACCATGAAAGTCGTGGGCCAGTGAGAACGCCACAGACAAGACCAACCCGATCCCGACTATATTGCCCCGACCTGAGGTGTTTCCTCAGAAATCGAATGGAATAGGTTTTAAGGCTCTATCTCTCATAGTTTCCGAGATAATCGCGAAAAACGAAATCGCAAAAAAAAATTAATTCAATTTATCTTCTAGAGGGGGTGGGTAGTGGAAAAACGTAATTCGGAGCCGTCCATTTTCTATAGGGACCCCAAATTTCCTCAGGAATCGAATCGAACAGGTTTTAAGGCTCTATCTCTCATAGTTTCCGAGATAATCGCGAAAAACGAAATCGCAAAAAAAAATTAATTCAATTTATCTTCTAGAGGGGGTGGGTAGTGGAAAAACGTAATTCGGAGCCGTCCATTTTCTATAGGGACCCCAAATTTCCTCAGGAATCGAATCGAACAGGTTTTAAGGCTCTATCTCTCATAGTTTCCGAGATAATCGCGAAAAACGAAATCGCAAAAAAAAATTAATTCAATTTATCTTCTAGAGGGGGTGGGTAGTGGAAAAACGTAATTCGGAGCCGTCCATTTTCTATAGGGACCCCAAATTTCCTCAGGAATCGAATCGAACAGGTTTTAAGGCTCTATCTCTCATAGTTTCCGAGATAATCGCGAAAAACGAAATCGCAAAAAAAAATTAATTCAATTTATCTTCTAGAGGGGGTGGGTAGTGGAAAAACGTAATTCGGAGCCGTCCATTTTCTATAGGGACCCCAAATTTCCTCAGGAATCGAATCGAACAGGTTTTAAGGCTCTATCTCTCATAGTTTCCGAGATAATCGCGAAAAACGAAATCGCAAAAAAAAATTAATTCAATTTATCTTCTAGAGGGGGTGGGTAGTGGAAAAACGTAATTCGGAGCCGTCCATTTTCTATAGGGACCCCAAATTTCCTCAGGAATCGAATCGAACAGGTTTTAAGGCTCTATCTCTCATAGTTTCCGAGATAATCGCGAAAAACGAAATCGCAAAAAAAAATTAATTCAATTTATCTTCTAGAGGGGGTGGGTAGTGGAAAAACGTAATTCGGAGCCGTCCATTTTCTATAGGGACCCCAAATTTCCTCAGGAATCGAATCGAACAGGTTTTAAGGCTCTATCTCTCATAGTTTCCGAGATAATCGCGAAAAACGAAATCGCAAAAAAAAATTAATTCAATTTATCTTCTAGAGGGGGTGGGTAGTGGAAAAACGTAATTCGGAGCCGTCCATTTTCTATAGGGACCCCAAATTTCCTCAGGAATCGAATCGAACAGGTTTTAAGGCTCTATCTCTCATAGTTTCCGAGATAATCGCGAAAAACGAAATCGCAAAAAAAAATTAATTCAATTTATCTTCTAGAGGGGGTGGGTAGTGGAAAAACGTAATTCGGAGCCGTCCATTTTCTATAGGGACCCCAAATTTCCTCAGGAATCGAATCGAACAGGTTTTAAGGCTCTATCTCTCATAGTTTCCGAGATAATCGCGAAAAACGAAATCGCAAAAAAAAATTAATTCAATTTATCTTCTAGAGGGGGTGGGTAGTGGAAAAACGTAATTCGGAGCCGTCCATTTTCTATAGGGACCCCAAATTTCCTCAGGAATCGAATCGAACAGGTTTTAAGGCTCTATCTCTCATAGTTTCCGAGATAATCGCGAAAAACGAAATCGCAAAAAAAAATTAATTCAATTTATCTTCTAGAGGGGGTGGGTAGTGGAAAAACGTAATTCGGAGCCGTCCATTTTCTATAGGGACCCCAAATTTCCTCAGGAATCGAATCGAACAGGTTTTAAGGCTCTATCTCTCATAGTTTCCGAGATAATCGCGAAAAACGAAATCGCAAAAAAAAATTAATTCAATTTATCTTCTAGAGGGGGTGGGTAGTGGAAAAACGTAATTCGGAGCCGTCCATTTTCTATAGGGACCCCAAATTTCCTCAGGAATCGAATCGAACAGGTTTTAAGGCTCTATCTCTCATAGTTTCCGAGATAATCGCGAAAAACGAAATCGCAAAAAAAAATTAATTCAATTTATCTTCTAGAGGGGGTGGGTAGTGGAAAAACGTAATTCGGAGCCGTCCATTTTCTATAGGGACCCCAAATTTCCTCAGGAATCGAATCGAACAGGTTTTAAGGCTCTATCTCTCATAGTTTCCGAGATAATCGCGAAAAACGAAATCGCAAAAAAAAATTAATTCAATTTATCTTCTAGAGGGGGTGGGTAGTGGAAAAACGTAATTCGGAGCCGTCCATTTTCTATAGGGACCCCAAATTTCCTCAGGAATCGAATCGAACAGGTTTTAAGGCTCTATCTCTCATAGTTTCCGAGATAATCGCGAAAAACGAAATCGCAAAAAAAAATTAATTCAATTTATCTTCTAGAGGGGGTGGGTAGTGGAAAAACGTAATTCGGAGCCGTCCATTTTCTATAGGGACCCCAAATTTCCTCAGGAATCGAATCGAACAGGTTTTAAGGCTCTATCTCTCATAGTTTCCGAGATAATCGCGAAAAACGAAATCGCAAAAAAAAATTAATTCAATTTATCTTCTAGAGGGGGTGGGTAGTGGAAAAACGTAATTCGGAGCCGTCCATTTTCTATAGGGACCCCAAATTTCCTCAGGAATCGAATCGAACAGGTTTTAAGGCTCTATCTCTCATAGTTTCCGAGATAATCGCGAAAAACGAAATCGCAAAAAAAAATTAATTCAATTTATCTTCTAGAGGGGGTGGGTAGTGGAAAAACGTAATTCGGAGCCGTCCATTTTCTATAGGGACCCCAAATTTCCTCAGGAATCGAATCGAACAGGTTTTAAGGCTCTATCTCTCATAGTTTCCGAGATAATCGCGAAAAACGAAATCGCAAAAAAAAATTAATTCAATTTATCTTCTAGAGGGGGTGGGTAGTGGAAAAACGTAATTCGGAGCCGTCCATTTTCTATAGGGACCCCAAATTTCCTCAGGAATCGAATCGAACAGGTTTTAAGGCTCTATCTCTCATAGTTTCCGAGATAATCGCGAAAAACGAAATCGCAAAAAAAAATTAATTCAATTTATCTTCTAGAGGGTGTGGGTAGTGGAAAAACGTAATTCTGAGCCGTTCGTTTTTCTATAGGGACCCCAAATTTGGTTTTAAGGCTCTATCTCTCATAGTTTCCGAGATAATCGCGAAAAACGAAATCGCAAAAAAAA